CAACTGTATTCTCAAGACTCTTCTTTTCCCTTTTTATTTTCACCTCTTTCTCTTCATCCTCTTTTAAAGCATCAGAGGACAGTCAGGTTGTGTCCTCTAGCCGTGTTTCTTCGTGTCTAGTGTCGTGGTGCGCGTGTTCATGTCAGTACTTGTGCCTACTGTGGATCGCATGCTTTAGCCCTTGACTGGACACAAACGTTGCTCACAAACTCCTCTTGACCCTTATGTGGACAAACGTTGGGGATCCTTATAAAGTTATCAAGGGAACCAAATAACTTATTACAAATTTATCATATGTGTTAACAGTTCTGTAAAAACAAATAGGAAATAAAGGCCTTTTAATTACCATGACTTGTTTGTGTTTAATACCCAGTTCCTCTTCCTCTGTTCGTTGTGTGTTAATGTCACAAAAACAAAACATTTTCATCCTTTTACCATTTATTAAGTAGAGTGAATTAAGTAATGTGTCTGTGTTAAGCCACCACTCGGAACATTTCAGACTGTTGAATATACAATCACTCGGTAAATCAGTATATCTACAGCACATGTAGAGAGAGCAGAATCATACTGTAGCTTATTTATAGTTCAATTAGTGGATGTGAGCAAACATAACACTGGTAATGTGGCATGGCTGGACTCCAAAACCATCACATGGTTTAAGGAATATAAGAAACACTGAGGACCTTGGTTAACTTAACCATTAAGTGAAAAAAAGACTGATACCAAAATCCTTGGTGTGTCTTTCACACCACGTACAGCACAGAAGGAGATTTCATGCAAATTAGTCTGAAATGCAGAGTTTATAAATCACGATGTATTAAACCCTATTTTAAAGCAAACTCACAATCTCTACACTTTGTTGCATTGTGGGTTTAGTTCTTAAATAACCATTAGAAGTAAGAAGTGCCTCCATACTGCAACTAATAAAAACATGACATCACTAATATTGAACTAGTAAATATAGCCTACAAAAATAACCAGATCAAAAACAGAAGCTTGGTAAAGTTCTGGTTTGTTAAAAGGCCTGCAGTACAGGCTTGCTCTGAAGCTAGGTGTGCCTTATAAATTGGCAGCAAAGTCTTTGAACAACTGCAGACCTATTAAAATGGTGAGAAATCATTGCAGAATAAAAGAGCTGATAACAGTTTATATTTCACAGCGCTGCCTTTTGCTGATTTTTAAGGCCACCCAATTAATGTGAAGGCTCACAGAGCAATGATAACAAGGAAGTGCACGATTCTGGTGTTTGTATTTTAATCGCCTAATGACAGGAAGGCCAACGGGTCAGCTAAAAAAATAATCAGTGTACTCCTCTGAAACAAAACTGACTAGGCAAAATATAAAGATTAAAACTAACACATCCATAAATAAATAAATATATATCTATTAAAAAACAAAATATATACGGCATTTTCATTTGCACTCGGGGTGTCTCTCTCTTCAGGCATTCATTTGTTTTCAAAATGAGATACTAGCTCAATAAAAATATCCTCTTGGAAGAACATGCATTTAAAAAAGCAAGGCAGCTGAAAACACAAAAAAGGAAAGTGTGGCAAATATTAATATCATCTCCTCTGAAAGTGTACCATTTTGAATGTGTCACAGGACTGCTAATAACAGCAGCACTGTTAACATGTGCATGTACAAAGTAGCCTTTCATGCCTATTGTACAGTCTCCTTTAACAAGCCCACATATACATGTTACATTTTTTTGCATACTAGGTAAATTAAACTCAAATGTGTATTAGCTAATTTTTAAAAAGCTGAAAATTGGACTAAAATTTGTGTCTGATCTATTAGAATGATAGTTTTTCCAAAGGTTTGTCAAGTGCATCACATTCATGCATCCCTGCAACTGTAGAAAAACACCCACAGATTTCCAAGGAAATCCACATCTGCGAGGCACTCAACTGTGGCGAGCAGCAACGGCTGAGTGACAAACCTGAGAATGTTGTCAATTGAAGCAAACACACCCCAAAACATGCATTTTATGATGCTTCACTATCTTTAGCCTATAGTGAAAGCAAGTCAAAGTGTTTTTGTGATAAGTTTTTAACGTCTTTAACGTCTCACATCATAATAAAGGAGAAAGCTACGGTTCCAAACAGTCTAAGTCAATGACTGTCTTCTCTTTCAAATAAAAAACATATTAAAACACGATTATGGAGTGCACAAGTAACAACCAAAGTAAAAGTGTCAAAATGTTATATGGCATATTATTAGGTACAGTAGCCTCACGCAATCTGATGCATTAGTTTGGATTTGAAATGTCAACAGTACACCTGGTCCCTATTTCATACACGTGACAAATATTCCTAAAACAAACAACATCTAATGAAGGAAAAAAAATTGTTGAAACTTTAATTTTAATAATGGTAAAATTAACTGAAGCTTGCCAACACTTCTCTTTGGATCTTCACAAGTACTAACAGGAATTACTAGGATGTTTCTGAAAATGCAACCAAACTAGCCTGTCACCATACAGTAACTCAGATACGAGTCAAAACCCGGGACCTTGTGGATAATGACACTGCTATTTCAGGGTTGGAGCGTCCACAGACACACAAGAGGAGCATCGCACATCTTTTTTTTTATTTTGACAGTTTGCTGATGACTCGAATGAGAGCACCATTTTCATCCTTTAGTCTCTGGTTGTCTGACTTGAGCTCTGTTAAGACCTAGAAAAAGAGAGGGAGAAAACAATATTAGAAAACCAGGGAAATATACAGCTTTTGCTGTGTCATTTAAATGGTTACTTGACATCTTTGTGACTTAAACCAGGACTATCCACTGCAACTTTAATCACCACTAAAGTTATCTTTCACTGAAGTTTAAAGTCAGGCAATGAGGACATGCTCTACAGTACTTGATCATGCAGTGTGGTGTGACAGTGACAGTATGTCCTGAATGTGAAAAGTGACAGAGAATGAAGTCAGAGAGAAGGAAAGTGAGGGAGGGTCAATTCCCCAAATCTAGGTCATGTCTCTCATGAGAAGCAATGACTAAAAATAACCACCCTCTTTGTCAAAGTATTTCCCCTCTACTGGAGACAAACAACAACCTTCTGCGCTAGCTGGGACACGTTGAGTGAGCAGAGACATCTTACGTCAACATGTTCCTGCCCAATATGTTGAATATTAATCCATAAAGTGAGAGTGAAAGCCCCACTGTGCTGACAATCCTATGTTGTAAGTTAAAAATTAAATGATAGTTTGATAGTTTTGGAATACGCTAGATGAAATGACCAATAAATTATCAGCAGGCTGTTAATTTAGATAAGCGTTAATGAATAAAAGGCAAGCAATTTTCCTGTTAGCACCTTTAAAACTGTTCAATCTGTAGAAAAGATGAAATGAAAAAGTTGTGGTATTATTCATTAAACACCTGCTTAGACAGCATGAAAAATATTTCCAAGAATGAAGGAAAGCAGCGGTGTCCAACAACAGGCCTCAAGGGCGGGTGTTGGAGGTTTTAGATGTGTCCTTGATCCAACACAGCTGATTTAAATGGCTAAATTACCTCCTCAACATGTCTTGAAGTTCTCTAGAGGCCTGGTAATGAGCTAATCGTTTGATTCAGGTGTGTTGACCCAGGGTGAGATCTAAAATCTGCAGGACACCGGCACTCGAGGCCTGGAGTTGCCTACCCCTGCGCTATATCATATACAGTGAAATGTGTTTCACTCTCCTTGTGTCATGCACCAATAATTACACCCTCACAATCTGGCATTTTGTTTAAGCAGAAAAATTTCCCATTATTTACTCCTACATATAAGTGCTAGTGTTGACCCCTCCACCACCCCAGCCTCCACATGCAGACCCTTCTATGAATATTTAGTCACTAACCCCAAATTTGAAATAAAAAAATACAGTATTTGTAGCTAGTGATGAGCTTGCAGGCTAGATGCCAAACTGTACTACATTGGACAAGAAAATAAATCAGTATTTCCTTGTTATTCCACACTAATTTATAGCAAGTCTACTATGGCTTTGTTTTTTTCTTCTGTAAGTAAAACAAATAATTTGTCAAGCTCTGCAAATATTAGTCATTTAATCATTAAATCGAAACATTTTGCAATAACTTTAACAAATCTTTGCTAAAGTTAATTTTGTTGTCCCTAAAAATCTTTAAACCATTATCAGACTGCAGGGTGTGTTTCTTGGGGTTTGATTTGATTAGCTGGTGAGATATTTCCATTTGTTTCCAACAGAAAATATGGCATACAGACTTTAGAGTAGAATCGATCCTAACTCTCAGAAAACAAAAAAAGGCCATTGGGCTTATTTCCCCAAGATGCCTAATGATACCTTTAATTTCACATCCACTGCTCATTAGCAAAATCATACAAAATTATTGGTACGTTTGCACCCCTGTCTCATCCAGTGACAAAGCACGTGTTCATTTTCAAGGCTAATGATCTGACACGTTTCATTTCCTTTGGAAGATTCAATAGTGGCTATTACCTTGGAAAACAACTTTGCATTGATTACACAGCACATTGCGCAGGACTTGAATATGTTTAATTGTGAAAATAAAAGGTGCTCACAAGGTGCTTCTATTTTTCATGATGCAGAGTCCTAGGTGTTTATGCAAAATGGCAACCCCTATGTAAATAAATAAATGCAGCTTAAAACACAGTGTTCATTTCTAGCATGCCACACAAATCTACCTAAAATTAAACTTCAAATAAGGCTTTGTGACAACTGTTTTGGAGAAAAGGGGGCTTCAGGGTTGGTCTAGACCATAAAGGGGATTCGATTTTTTAAAAAAAAAGTGCACAGGAGGATGCATTGCAGTGTGGGGGGGGGGAGGAAAGCGTGAGCATCAAGAGAGTGCAAGACCTGCCTGAGAGGAACACAGCAGAGGTTGAAGGGGCTGTAGAGGCACCAGAAGGAAAGAGAAGTAGAAATTATGTGGCTGAGGAAGGGGAGAAGAGGAAGGGGGAAAGGTCTCAGAGGATCAGAGGTCCTCTGTCTCCGGCATTGAGGCCGTCTCAGAGAGGCGGGCGAGGACGCGAAGCATGGCTCTATTTTCAGCCAGGAGACACTCGTTCACTCTCCGCAAGGTCTGGACCTGAGCCAGAGCAGGGAAAGCCTGCGTACAGGAGGAGAGAGATACAGAGAGGGGCAGACAGAGAGAGCATGCGGGGAGCAGGCCATGTCGCACAGAGAGATACTCATACAGAGACTGCAGCCATATCCGCTCATACAGGCATGCACCCACACAGCAGCATAGACAGGGGAAATCAAAGAAGCAGAGCTGAGGGATTTATCAGAAATACTTACATAAACAAATATTTACACAACAGAGATATTTTGAGAGAAAATACCATAAGCTGCAACAAAGCGAGGAAAGTTATGAAGCCAGTTCAACTTGGATTTGTGCTCATCAAAGGTGGGCTTTATTGGGAAGAAGTGAGGTGTTGACTTATTATTATATTCATAGAACTGCAAAGAAGATGGAATAAAATTCATAGAAAGCTAAAAAAAAGAGAGAAAATAATGAACGCTGATATATTTTAGCCTTTGCACAAGAGCCTCTCCAGATAAAAGTCAAAGGAATGGAAATCATTCATTTCCTCCCTCTTCCTGGCCTGACTTTTTTGAGGTAAACCTCAATGTGGTTCGACATAGCTGTCTGTGGTTTGACACCATTGCTGAAGGTAAACCGCAGACCAGACACACACACATATACACGTTATTCAGGGCACTTGTGGCATTTCAGCCACCCAGACAGACAAGTTTGTGGAGGTGAATGTGGCAAAGCATGACATATAAACGAGGACACCCAGCTTCGCCTTGCGCACATTTATGAAAGCTGCCTGGTTTGGGGACTTTTCAGTTCATGCATTAAATATTCTCTTGGATTAAAACAGCGCAGTTTTTGGAAAGGTGCCCTTGGCTGTGGTGAAGAAAAGGACACAGTGAGCCGAGGATGCATAATGACCAGTATCCCCTATTACACTCTTTTAATATTGAGCTGTTTGATATTAAATCAGATCTGACTACACTCTCAGGTTCTAAGGGATCATTTCTACAGAGTTACTATTCATTAGGTTTAGAGGCTGTCAAGAATAATTGAGCTTTTCCATTTGGAATGTAAAACCCAGCAGAGTAATCTGACACTTTGAGTATTACCACATTCCCATTATTTTAAGAGGGAAGATGGACACACAGTGCTGTTGATGTGAAAAATCCATAACTAAGGCTAATTAAGTGCAGAACTACAGGGCGGGTAGCCCAAAAACCCAAAATGCACCCCTATTTGCAAGAAAAGTAACTACAGCAAGCAAAGGCGAAGATGTGCTGTTATGTATCATTTATAGGAACGGAGAGTAACCTGCTCAGGAATTCTGACACTTGTGGTCATTGAGTGTCACAACTGCAGTTTATTGATTTTGTTTATTTTATTGCATTTTTTTAAATAACCGCATAAACATCTTTTATTTATTTATATACCTCTTAAAGGCTACTGTTATTTTCCCTTTCCAGTAGGTGGTGCAATTTGATACTTATGTGGCAGCAATGAAACAGCTCCCCCATGTGGAGAATCTGATACTTGCTAAAAGTGAAGGAGTGACTTTGTGAGAGAGTGCAAGGCGGTTCTCTGAGGTGATGTGCTCCCAAAGCTTTTACGCTCTAAGCTACTGTTGAGAGGATAAAAAGTCCAGATGTGTAAACATGCCCCAATCTCTGGCACAACAGAAACATGTGAGGTGATAGGTACGTATCAGTCACACCTCTGTATCATAGCAACCACTCACCGTCCCCCCTTCCCTGAGACAGCTTGCCCTCAGGGCTGGTACCCACAGCGAAACCGCAGTGGGGCATCCTGCTGAAGGAACCATGACAATACGGGGGTCAAACATCTGCTGCTTATATACCACGCCGCTGTTGTACGTTGGAATTCTGCATATGTTATGCAAACCGAATTCCCGAAAAGTTGGGTTTTATAAGAATAAAATGCAGAGATTTGCAAATCTCATAACCCACATTTTAGTGACAACAGAACACGGAAAGCATGTCAGTGTTTGAACTGAGACAACTTTAATGAAAAAAAAGCATCCCTTCTCCTTTTAATAATAGTCCATAAACATGAATTGAGGAGACCAGTGTTGGACTTCTGGGAGAGGAATGCTGTTCCATTCTTGTCTGATATATGGCTCTAACTGTTCAACAGTCCAGGGTATTTTTAGCTCCATGATGCACCAAATGTTTTCAGTGCAGGCAGCTCAGTTCAGCCCCTGGATGTTTTTACTACAAAGCCTTGTTGTTGTTGTTGTAACAGGGGAAGTAGGCCGTTTACCATTGTCTTGCTGAAATATGCAAGGGGCTCCCTGATTGTTGCTTTAAAACTTGTATGTACTATTCAGCAGTGATGATGCCTTTCCCTATGTGCAAACTGCCAATTCCATTTCCAGTCATGGCATGCTGTGTTCACAGACAGTAATTGAAGACATTTCTCTAAATTCTCTGAATCTTTTGATGATATTATGTACTTTAGATAGTGAGATATTCATAGTCTTTGTAATTTTAACATCGAGAAACATTAACCTGAAATCACACAATTTGCAGACACAGGTTGGTAAACCAATGCCATCGTCTGAGAACGTCTGCCGCTCTAAAATGCTCGTTTTTACACAATCATGTTACTGACCTGTCGCCTAATTAGTTTGCAAATTGTTCCACCAGCTGTTTCATTTTAATATCACTTAATTTTCCAGCCTTTTGTTGGCTCCATTCAGATTGTCTTGAGATGTGTTCCTGCCATTAAATTCAAAACGAGCTAATATTTTTAATGAAATAGGAAATCTTTTCTTTGTTCAATTGTGAATAAAATACAGGCTCACAAGATTTGCAAATCATTGCAGAGTGTTTTTATTGACATTTTACTTTAACTAGTTTTGTGTAGTTTTTTCCACAGTTTATTTTATGCTGGTTGGTTCTCTCGACTAATAAATTATAATCTTATCGTGTAGTTTGTAATTGCTTCCACATAAATTGCAGACCATTTTTACTCAGGCCTGACATCTCTTTGTAGTTGTGCCCTGTGTTTCTTTGTGAGGCAGAATACACACAGAGCAACACAGGAATGTCTCACAAAAGCAGGTCTTTTGCTCTTGGATAGGGTTTGGTATTCAGCTGGAACTAGGTCACAATGTTCACCCCAACAGTGGGATAAGTGGAGCAGGGGAGCAGCAGCACAGGCTCCTCCTTAGCCTGGCAGGAAGTGGCCCAGCAGAACACTGTGGGTAATGAGCCTGAAGCACTAACCTTCTCTCTCCTTGACTCCAAACCCACCTGGCTAACCACAACTCTGCAGTGAGCGATATGTGTGTTCTGCTCTGTAAAAATACTTTAGGTGTGCTTGATTTAGAATGAGTGAAAGGGGCTTGGCTGGAGGTACCGGCAAGGACTATCAGTATTATAATGTTTTTTGGGGAGAAAACATCAATGAGACAAATTAAGCACAACTTGTGTCTGAGACAAAATAGATGCCATTTAAGTGAGTACACACTGTTTTGCATGGACTGACCTTTAATTCCTCCTCCATGTCTGACACTCTTTTCTCAAGGGTTTGTTTTTCCTGTAAATGAAGAAAAAAAACTGAAGTAAGTTCTACTGGAAAAATGAGACTATAATTTGAAGTAGACAAGGAAACTGATTGGAAAGAATGCAAATATATGTAATATTATCAAGGAGGTTGTTAAGACACTTACCCTTTTTTCTGATTCAAGTGCTGAAGATCTTTCAGATATTGTGTCGTGTCTCTAAAACAGGGGTAAAGTTATTGGGAGAAATTTATTAGAAGAACTGGTTTAAATTTTAATCATGACTTCACTGAAGAAGTAAAAAGTCAAATCTTTCTTCAAGCACACAGGAAGTGAAGGGATGAATGTGAGTTTTCTGTAGAATGGGCCAAAGGTACCTGAGTGACTTTCTCCAGTTGGGAACGTATCTTGGCTAGCTCTTGTTTGCTCTCCTGCAACCTGGACTTGAGTTTTGCATTTTCATGCAAAGCTTCTGCATACATCTAAAATGTTAAGAAAAGGACAAATATAGGAATAGATTTGTTATAGAAATTCTTAGTATTTGAATTTTGATAACCAAAATATTAATGAAGATACAAAGCATAAAGGGAGTAACAACAGACAGTTTAAGTTGAACCACACAACTCAAACAATATGTAAGATCATCGGTTATATTTACATAAATACAGTTTTTTTTTCACAATAGCAAAAGCTTTTTCAAAAAACCCCAAACCTAACACAACGTTACTTCTTTTGTTTCTGACTGTGACGGGACCAAACTGAGTGTGCATTTTTTGTTGATATCTGATTATGTTTAACCTAAAAGGATGATGGTGATGAACGCTTATCACAACTGTAAACTAACTGTAATGCCCTTCCTGATGCAACCCCAAAGGAATTTGTGCCTCCTCCCAGTAAATGTGTAAACCAGTAGACCATGGAGCCACTTTCGACTTGGGCATGGTCTCCGAATTTCAAGGAGGGGGAAGGGGGGTCTCTGTCTCTGTCGGTCTTAAAAATAATAATGTTCGCGTATGTTTATGGTTAGGGTTAGCATCACCTGTCAACATCTATTTAAGTAAATGTAGTAAAAGTACATATAGAACTGTTAGCTTCTTCAAAAACCTTACATCTTCAAGTCTCTCCATGTTTCCTGTTTTATTTTGAAAGCTCTGGTGTTTCCATGTTCAGTGTGTTTAGTTTTACTTTTCCCTGTGGCGTCATGATCATTTTTGTCAGCTGTGTCTCCTCAGGTGTTTCCACTTCCCTCATTACCCTCCTGTGTATTTAAGTCCTCTGTCTCCCTCTGTTCTTTGTTGGTTCATCTGTCTGTCTTCATGTCAGGTCACGTCAAGTCACAGAGTTTTTGCCTCCCTCTGTTCAAGTCCGTGTTCATGCTCCTGTTTGGTTTATTTCATAGTTACGTTGTCACATGTTCCTGTTTAGTTTCATGTTCTTGTCTCTCGTCATTGTTTTCACAGTTAGTTTAGTTTTGCCCCAGTTTAGGTTTCAGCTTACTTTCGCCTCGCCTTGTTTTTCAGTTTTTTGTATCAGCCGCATAAGGGCTCGCTTTTTGTTTGATCATCAGCTCATTTCTCCTGTGTCTGTTTTTGGGTCCGCTCCACAAATACAACATCAATCCCCGCCATGACAACATGAAGTCAACAGTATTGCCACTCTTACTGTATAGTGGCATTGCAGGTTCATAGTTCCATATACTGGTTTGATGCAATCTCAGTAAGACATACCTTCATTTCTGCAAATACTTGAAGAGGGAATATTACAATAGCAAAATACAATTACAGGTCAGAAGTTCCTTTCTGACACTCCCATCCCATGAAAGCCCAGTTACATTACTGGGACAAATAGATACAATGTGCATAAATATAAAGGCAAATTGTATCCAGGACTGCAGCTTTGAATCAGTAACATTAGAATGTGTTTTTGAAACCGAGGAAAGAGTTACTACCTTCTTATAGTCTTTGGCAGTGGAGTCTTGTTCCTGTTTATTCAGTGCAGCCAGCCTTGCCTCTCTGCGTGTGTATGAGCTGGTGCGGCCCAGTGACTTGTCTGTAGCACTCTCTCCAATGGAATCAAATCTAGAGGCAACACAGCTCTTAGCCAGTCTGAAAGGCAGCTTTATTTGCAGTGTTTTTTTTCCTCTTACCTGTTACAGTTCTGTAATACAGAAGAAAAAAGCCCAAATCTTACCTTGACACTCTGTCATGCTGAAAAACAAGGAATAAGGCATGTTAGTTTGACTAGCAGCATGGAAACATCACACTGTGAAAATATTCTGTCACGGTTAGATCGAGTCCTGTTCATTTGATATCACCAAACAAAGGCTTGGCTGAGAAATATTTTCCATTTTGAGACAGCAGAGAACAAAAACAAAACTTCCAGTTGAATTATCACAACATGCGGCTCATGCTTTTATTACATCCCAGCTGGACTATTGTAACTCCTTATATGCTGGAGTTAGCCAGACCTGCCTGGCAAGGCTGCAGTTGGTCCAGAATGCTGCAGCTCGTCTTCTGACACGTACTAAAAGATGTGAACACATTTCCCCGGTGCTTGCCTCTCTTCATTGGCTTCCTGTCCACTTCAGAATTCATTTTAAAATTTTATTGTTGACTTGCAAAGCCCTGAATGGACAGGCTCCCGGGTATTTCTCTGACCTCTTGCAGACTTATACCCCCTTTAGATCTCTTAGATCAAGTGATCTTTTGCTTTTAGCCATACCAAGGTCGAGGCTGGTTCATAGAGGCGATTGGGCATTTGCAGTCGTAGCGCCTAAGCTGTGGAATAATTTACCCCTATACATCAGGTTATTTTATTAGGTATGTTGTATTCTTGTACAGCACTTTGGTCAACGCTCCTGTTGTAATTAAATGTGCTATATAAATAAATAAACTATAAACTATGTTCGGACGCCTTTGGTCCCAGATGGAAGAAGTGCATGTAGAAGTAGGACACAATTCTCCCCAACACTGCTCTGACAGGGTTCGCAGAGGTCAAACCTCCCCGGTGAGCCTGTTTAATCTTTTGAAATACGCTGCTGCAATGAGCATGCCTGCAGCACAAATATGACATAATGACATCAGAAGTCAAGTATTCCTTGCATGACAGGCTGCCATCTGACCTCAGACAACAGTCTGATATCAAACTGTCCTGGCAGGTCCCTGCTATGACTAGCCCAGTCTAAGTGGCTGCCAAGTTGCCTGTTGTGATCACATTCTGTGTTTGTTTCCACTTCACCAAGCAGCCTGGGCACTGTGCGACATGAGGAGTTGCGTATACATACTGTTCTTTGGCTGTATTTGGTTTCTGTTTTCAGAAATTACGTTACCTCAGAGATGTCCCTTTTAAGGGACCTATTTTTTTATGGCTATTGACTGCCTTCCTGCATTACTTCATAGTCATGTGAAAAAGAACGTTTACACTATGGGACACTATGCAGTTCTAAGTACGCCTCATGATCCAGTAGCTTGTAGAATCACCTTTAGCAGCTGTAACTTGAACTAACTGTTTTCTCTATGAGTTTATTAGTCTCTCACATTGTTGTGCAGGAGTTCTTGTCCAGTCTTCTTTGCACCGTTGCTTCAGATCACTGAAGCTGGACGGTACCTGTTTATGCAAAACACTTTTAAGGTCCCATTGCGTTGTGTCAATCAGTTTGAGGTCTGGATTGTGACGGTGCCATTGAAACGCCTTGATTCTGTGCTTCTGTTTCAGATTCGTTGGCATGTGTGGGATCATTGACCTGTTGTATGACCCAGTTTGGGCCAAGCTGTAGCCGTCAGACAGAAAGCCTCACATTTGGATGCTGCCTTGTTCTTTTTTTGAAAGAACGAGCTTTCTCCTAGAAACCCTTAAAACAAAACCCATACGTCTTCAGTTGTTTTCAAATAGTCGATACCAGCTATCATACTGACTGAGCCTTGCATTGCACTGGCCTGTCCAGGAATTTCACCCCATATTTAATCTCCATACTTAGTTTGTCAAATGACTGCAGAGAGCCCTAAACAAAACTGAACTAAACAAACACTTGCTGCCTTCAGCCGATAAATGTGAAATTTTTTTCACTGTTCATATCAGACTGGAAACAACAAGTAATATAGTGAGAGAGGCTGCCATGATGTGAGACCAGCTTGATCCGTGATCTCTGCTGCAGTCTCGTAAAACTTCCCTAAATTCATAGATTTGGAGTTGATCTCCAGCCAGGCAAAGAAATCTTTAAACACCTGTGTTTAGAAATGTTTGGCAATAAACATCAAGTGTGGTGGTCTAAGCTGTTTGAGACAAGAAGCAGATGTTAAAAGAATGATTTAGAAAAACAGTATATGTTAAAAGCAGTGGGTATTCCTGCATTCAGATTTAGTGAGTTAAGAGGAGATTTTACACAGCATCGTAGGAGCTGTTCCTCAGCAAGTGTTTACATAACTGAGCCACTGCTGCCTGTCCTTATGTGGTCATGTGCTTCAGCTGAGCTATCCAGGAAAAAACAGACCTCCCTGACCTCAGATGAAAAAGGGCTAAGGATGGAGTGAAGAAGAGCTCTCACTCACTCTGATCTCTTTGTGCAATAGCAAGGAGATTCCTCAATCAGATTGTGTAATCATTCATTAAGCAGCAGGTTGTAAGAATACATTTTCATGAAGCCTGCTTTTGGAGATATGAACCAAACTGTACGCAAACTTATTTCACACTAAAGGATTAGGAAATTGGGGAAATTAGGCTTTTTTTAAACTTAATACTTTAAACCTTGAGTGGGCCCTGTGGGGATTACACTGCCAGATTTTTGGGGAAAAATGAGCAAGTCCTTATACGACCAATAAACGCATAACATCCGCATTGAACTGAAGCCAGAAAATGAGCCATAGTTTGAATTCTACTTGTGATGGCAGCTGCACCAATCTGATTGCCTTGTTAGGAAAAATTGAGGGAGGAAGAAGTGCCACATGTAACTTAGCAAGGCAGAGCAGAAGAAGGAGGAGGAGATGAACAACAGTGTGTCAGACTGGTGAAAACAGCCTCAGAAACAGTGTTGGCTTTACCATGGGCACCCAGTAAACAGAACCGTTTCCAGTTTTATTAGCTTGCCTGGATCAACATCATCAGAAGTATACACACGCAAGCCACCTGCATGAGCTCACTGCTAGAGCGTATAAATGATAATGCTAACGTCAGCCAAGACAATCATAATTAGCAGACTCTTCACACTCATTCTCACTGCCTTCTCTTCCTTTCCACTTTCTGCCACAGCATCACTCCTTTAGAGCAGGCTAGTTGACTACAGTAGGAAAATCTGAGCTACACCAGTGCAAATGACACTACACACACATAAACTCATAAAAAAAATCTTCCGCATTCACTCACCTTTCCCTACTTCTCTACAGTGTTAACTCTTTACACAACATCTCAGAGCTCCAGGCAACCAAGAGTATCTTCCTTGTTTTCAAAATGACCAAATCAAATGAGGAAATGGGTTCTTTTTCTTGAGTAACAGTACTTGGAAACATTACTGCCTATTACGACATGTGTTACTATCGATGCATTAATTCATATGTATTACGATTACATTTAGTGAGTCCTACTCAAGTGGCCTATCTCTTCACACAATAGCATCACACGATAAAGCAAATGTGTGAAATTATTAATGGGGGGACTAATTTGAGTCTTTGCTTTTCGTGGAACATCAGGTAATTTTTTTATCTTTCTGTGGACCTGCAGAGATTTTTACAGGAAAAGTGTTTTGGATCTAGTGCAATTACTTGTTTGCATATTCAAGCATGTTTTAATTTGAAATAAACCTAGTGGGCTATGATTTCTGAATGCGGGGGAATGGAGAGCACATATTTCCAGAAACATAATGAAGCAGAAGTAGCAGAAACTATCTGATCTGATTATCTCAGCTATCCTAAATTCTTCCTTCTGTACAGCACGTGGCTTAATGTGCTTACTTACATTTCACCACTGTGAACATCTGCCAAATGTTGAGTGTCTGCCAATAATGCAAATGTGTTCCTGTTGACTTTGACTTCCTGCTGCACACAGCTGTAACACATATTACATTGGTACAATTATTGCATCAACCTGACTCCACGGCTTTTTCTCTCCCAGGAACACACTGCCAATTCAGATTGGGCTGGCTTCATGGAAAATTAAAGCCAGAGTTTCCCCGGCAGAGAGAGAGTGACACTTGTTGAAATGCGAGCAAAAGAATCCAAACATCCACCAGAGGCATTCGCTGCTGGCAACAGTGCAATAATAATGAGTGTGTCTGTAGTGTTGCGTGACATTACTGTACGTGCTTCCAAACAGACAGGATCCCATTGTGTTTGGTTTTTCCCCCACTCTATTCTTTCTTTCCCTTTAAATGTGCCTGTCACACAGAGTTCAGCTCAGTCTGATGCACTGACATAAACAGTCAAACTACGCCCGTGAGAATAAGCCACTTAGGCAGAAAAAAAATAACAGGAAATTACAGAAGGAATGCTTCAATCCAAAAGTCTTTTCCAGAAAATGTGGTCAGACTCTCAGCACTTCAGAGCAAATACTTGCCTCGCTTTCACAAGCCAGCAAATAAGCTGTGATAAGTGTCTGAAGAGTTAGGCAAATACACATTAGTAAATGAACTATTAGCCTGTTGATCATATAATGATGTTTTTTGTTTAACTGTTAGTATCCCAACAGCAGATGTCCAAACATATATACTGCTATAATATATATCTATATATATCTATCATTCAAAGTAAAAAAATCTAATAAATTAACTGACAAATTCTTTACCTAGTTGTCCGAACTCTTAAAAAGCTGCTTAATGATGCGTCCAGTTGTCTTAGATGAATCAACAAATCAGCCTGGTCTAAGGATTAGTCATCAACATCTACAGAAAATACTATTCTTTCTTTGACTTTACAGAGGGGTCATACTATAAAGTCCCTTTACAGATAAATAAAGAGTAAGATAAACTAAGAGTTGTGATATTAAAGTTATTTAAAGCCACTGGAATAAATTACCAAAAATTGCTACAATATCACAAAAAAGTATCACATTCAGTTTTTCCTGCAAAGGTGCACCGCTCTAGAAATGAAGCTTACTCTGTAGTTTTTTTCTGTAGGGGACGGAGACGATGGTGGCGATTCTGTCAGTGACTTCCTGGTGCGAGTCAGGTCCTTGGTGCGTGGGTAGTAGGATGACATCTCCCTCCTCTACCCCGGACAGGCAGATCAGCTTCTACTGTAACATTCACCGAGGCCACCACCAGATAACAGCTGGACACACGCACAGATTCCCTCAAGCAACAGGGACACAGATGTCCATGACCGTGCTCCTGGGGAATCCTCAGCAACAACAGGTGTGTGTGTGTGTGTTTATATGTCTGTTTGGTGTTTCAGTGCAGCCACAAACGTCCCAGAAGTGGACACAGTTGCTGCTAAATCTGGAAGGATTTCAAATGTGCAGTCACGCCTTCTTCAAATCTCAGGCAGTTAAACAACAGGCAGATAAAAATTTTAAAAAGAACCACAAAACAAAACAATCTCTGGAGATCTAAAGAAAAAGAGCAATTCAATGAAGAAAGCAAACGAATGAGTATCCCTTGTTCTGCTCTGTCAGCACTGAAGTCCGCTATGAAATGCACAAAAGTCCAAAACAAGACAAGAGAGAAAAAGTTTGTTCCCTTTGCTGCCTCTTCCTGAGTTCCCCAAAGTTATACACTCTCTGCCATCTCCCTCCCTCTCCTGCTCTCTCTCTTCTGCTCCTTTCACTATTTGGTCACCCTCTCGGTCCCTCTGCTTCCCCAACCCCCAGCCCCCTGCTTCTCCCGGCTCTCTTCAGCTTTGGCAGCTTTCTGTGGCAGCCTGCCAGAGGCTCTGCTATGGACAGACTCGGCACTGAGGGCTAAAAATTGTCCACCGATGTGAAGAGCGATAAGAGGAGGTGGAGCACAAAGCCAGAGTCAGGAGGGGGCTGAAGCAATTTGTGTCCTGGTAGGTCAACCTGGGTATCACCTGAGGAGCCATCAACAACTGTAAAGTGTCAAGTAACTCTGTGCGCCCTACAGTGTGATGGAGAGGGGACGTTGCCAGTATTAGTGCTACACAGTGTTAACACAGAGCACTTGTGACACATCTCCTCTTCCTGAAACAGAAATCTTGTTTCATTTTGCCCACAGCCGCATTGATTTTAGTTTTATTTTTATAAACCTGCCTATTGATAGACAGGTTTATAAAAAGTCAACATTTTATTAAAGAATAGTTGGACACTTTTGGGGAAATATAAATTTTGGCTTTCTTGTCAGAAGTTATTTGAAAAGACTAACTGAATTCTCAGACTTGTGTGAAGGTACAGCCAGCAGCTTGTTAACTTGGCATAGCAAAAACGCTCGACTAAGAGAAAAACTGTTCGACTGGCTCTGTTCAAAGATTCTAAACCTGCCTCCCAGCATCTCTCAAACTCTCTAATTAACATGTTACATCTTATTTTGTTAATCTCTTTTCTCTCTGGTTGTTAAACAAACAAAATTTATTTTTTAACTAATGAGGCTCAGCGGGGACAGAACCAAACAGTTTTCCCTGCTTTTCCCTGCTAAGCTAAGGTAATCCAGCGCTGGCTCTGACTTCATGTTGACCATACAGGTGGTATCAATCTTCTCACCTAATTCTTGGCAACAAAATGAACACGGGTATTTCTCAAAATGTCAAACTGTTCCTTTAAACAACCCAGCAGTAACCCCTTAATTTCATAGTCAGCTCAAGCTGGCTCATTGCTGTCTTCCTTTTATAGTGAGGTACGCAAGCGCCTCACGGTTCTCTATACTTCCCCATCCTTGCTCAGGGCAAATAGATAGAAGGCAAGATAGGACTGCGAGAAACTGAGCACAGACACAGGGGAGAATCAAAGAGAAGCGGAGAAGCTGATGTGTTGTGGCCTTTGGTTTAAGGCTGGAAAGTCACCCAGACTAGAAATCTAACAGGTCTTAATTTCCCAACCCAAGTACCATTGCCTGCATCTCTAACTTTTACAGTGCTTGAATTTTAAGGACAAATACCATGGATTGTAAGTTCTAACAAAACTGATATTGGAATTAGGTATTAGTTAGAGTAGTCTAGCAGTATGTTTACATTAAACATTCTAACTTGGAGACCCTCTGGAAATAAGACATTAAACTACACTGGCACTGGTTTTGGATAGTTGTGTTGAGAATCTAGCCCAGCTGGAGTTCCTTCTGTCTGATCCTCACCCTTAGCTTTAGGATATTCCATATGGGATGCTATGCTCATGCATTTTAGTAAAGCAGAAAATAAGTGGCTACCAAAGATCCCCTGAGTGATAGCAGAAATGTGGAAGTTAAGTTTGGACTACCACTCAGATCAAATTTCATAATGTATTCCAGGATAAAAAGAGGTATGTTTGAAGCGGCATTCTTGCTATCTCTGCTTGTCACCCTTAAGTACCAGAATCTCTATGTTGTCTCACTCTGCACCTGTCTTTTTGTCGGTTGTTGGAAAAAATCATAAAAAGAACTGCGGAAATCTGTTCCGATAATCATGGAGTCACGCAGAGGTCGACTCTATTGATGGGCAGCCTGTCTAGCTTCTGGTAAAACCTCACTGCTCTGTATGATTATCACAGACAGATATAGTACCTGCTGAGATACTCTCGTATTACTGACAGATCTCTGTTTCAGATTCCAGCACAGGGTTACAGCCAAATCTCTGACCTGGAGTCAGCTCATATGGACACCACTTTCCATTCATACTGTATTACACCTAGGACATTCATAATCATCTATTATCAGGATACCATCTTGTATAAGTCAAAGCCTTGTCATCTATGTGTCCCCTTTGCTTCCATTTCTCAGATGGCTAGATTATCTAAAGTGAAACTTAATAAGTGAATTGACAGATTTTACCCAGTAGGAGTAATTAGTGATTAAATTTGTCAGTGCTTTTGTCAGGGGTGTTTCACTGATAGCATGCAGGTGGAGGGAGAACAGTAATAGTTAAGAATTTAAAGGAGAAAGCAAAGCCAATCACTCTGAATCCAAGGGTAAGATTAAACAGAGACCATCTCAGTTTTGCCCAATATGGTATGGAATGCTGAGACACCTCAGCCATGTGATGTGAAGAATCAAAATGACTTAAAGAGAGTGGGGGGCTGGCTATCCAGACTATCTTTCTGTGAGATATTATCCAGCACTTCTAGTTACGGTACTCTGTGAACACATGCTCGACATTTGTGATTGCAGTAGTTCTTAAAATATTGCATCAGAGATCAGAGCGCAGCTGCCTTTGAAGCACACTCAGCTTTCAGGTCAGGGAGGAACAGAATATGAACATGAAACAACGGCGCCAACAGATATTGACTTGCACACAATATTTAAATTAGAGTGGTGATGCATTTAATACATTGTCATGAATGCCAAAAAAGAGAACCACTTTGATTTTGTGAAGCATGAGAACTGATTATCACATTTTTAAGTTTAAAATCATTCCCAAGAAATTTCAATGTATCACACAGGAAAGCTTTGTAAATACTGGCCTCCTCTGGAACAAGCTATGGATGAAAAATAGATTAGATTATCCTTTGACTCCATCTAGTGGTAGATGGTTAAAATGTTTTGTGAAACCACCATTCGCCTCTTGGTGTGTGTGTGTGCGTGTGTGTGTGTGTGTTATTACAATTAAAGTGGCTAGATGTTTTCCACCTACCTTTGCAATGTAGTCTGAGCCTTCAGTGTCAAAGCAGGGCCGTCTTTGTTGAGTCAGCTGTGCTGAATCTGCAATGTTCTGATTTTCATCTCTCCACCATCTCTCGCCAACTGGACATATAAAGGAAGTGTGTGTTTTTATTATTATACTAGATCAATACTAATAATGGAAAATAAAGACGTGCTGTATGATTAACAAACTGAAGGCTAATGTTCAGATTGAGGTCTTCGTGAGCCTGAGCTCTCAGAGCTCTCAGAGCTCAAAAACTTCTTAAACATTATCAACTCAAAACCAAAAAAAGTGATTTCATTCCTTTGATAGTGTTTTAAAACACAATTCATGTGCTCTGTGTCTGCATTTTGTAGCACAGCCACTCCCAAACACCCCCCCACACACACACACACACACACACACACACACACACACACACACACACCCACACACACACACACACACACACAAAACAGCCTTCCATGAAAGGTTTTCTACCAAACTGTACTACTGTACCATGTAAGTAAAGTTTTTTTATATTGTGCTTTTTATAAACATATAAGTCACACAGCACTGCACAACAGTAAAAAAAAGAAAGAAACATAATTAATATCAATAGAGACATGTGTTAAAATAGAATCATAAATAGAAATCAAAAATAATAAAAATAGGGGCGATCGTGGCTCAAGAGTTGGGAGTTCGCCTTGTAATTGGAAGGTTGCCGGTTCGAGCCCCGGCTTGGACAGTCTCGGTCGTTGTGTCCTTGGGCAAGACACTTCACCCGTTGCCTACTGGTGGTGGTCAGAGGGCCCGGTGGCGCCAGTGTCCGGCAGCCTTGCCTCTGTCAGTGCGCTCCAGGGTGGCTGTGGCTACAATGTAGCTTGCCATCACCAGTGTGTGAATGTGTGTGTGAATGGGTGGATGACTGGATATGTAAAGCGCTTTGGGGTCCTTAGGGACTAGTAAAGCGCTATATAAATACAGGCCATAACAACATAAATAACAAAAGAATGTCAACTGGAGGCCTGATTAAACAGATAATAGTTACAGGGTAACTTTTATCACATACTTCACTACCTACAAAGTACATTTTTACTTATTTTTACTTAAAAACAAAAAACAACAGTTTTTGTTAAGATGTTTGAAATGACATTGAAAGAACAGTCCTGAATATCAAAACTGTCCAGAAATCATTAGGTGGACTAACAGTCTGGATCATAGTGACCTGCTAGCACATTTTTTGTTGTTGATGTTGTTGTATTATATTTTATGGAACCCAGAACAAAACATATGGATCATGAAGCACAACAGAACACGACAATCAAAAGAAATCCGGATGTTTTTCTTACCTCTGAAGGAGCTGTTGCAGTAAGGTCGGTGCGGAAGGTCAGGCAGGATTTCTAATCTGGTTTCAAAGTTACCCTCCTGCACATTTGGAGTAAAATAAAGAAGAATACAGAGATAAATCATAAATTTCACCTAAAGCTTCAAATCAGCCACATCTGAGGCAGAAAACGATTTCTGAATAATTCTGTCTTGTAACCTCATCCATTTGGCTCCAGTTTAGACTGACATCAGTTGTTTCTGTGTACTCTGTAACTCCAGGCTGAACTCTTCTATCATCTGTTAAGCTCATCCGCAGACAGGACCTGTCCTCCAGTCTGCTGCTATCCTCATTTTTTCCATCTTCCAGGCTTCTGATCTTCTGAGCCTCTTTCAGGTCAGTCGGAGTCATACCCTGCAGGATATTCACACAGCTTCACATATATGAACAGGTTGTTAAATCTTTCAAAATCTAAACGTGTGTCAACCATTTCAGTACCTGTGTTAACCTGCGAGTTTGTCTCGCATGGCGAGATTTTGCTTTTCTCTGAGATTCTGCTTCTTCATCCCTGACAGGGGTCAGATACGACCTGGGTCAGGAAAAACACACAAATGCATAGGTGTAATTAGTCTGCACGAGGCCACAGTCATACATATGAAGAACCAATGTTTTAAATTGAAAAATGTAAAATCAAATCAAGTCAAATGGGACATTAAATTTAGTATCTAACTATCTAGGTATTATTAACAAAACAAAGCTACATATATGAGCAATAATAGACTATTTGCATTACAAACCTTAACAAATCCAAAATCTACTCACAAGCTTCCGAAATTCAGTAAAAATGTCTAGTATTAATTGTACACGGCATAATAAGATAAAATCAAAAACATTCCATTATTATGTGGCCTTTATGTGACCCAGTGTTACAACAGCAAGTATGTTAAGCTGCTAACACAGCTTTTCTGTGATAGCTGAACACACTTCTGTACTTTTTAATTGTCTGTCCTGGCATTCTACTCTACCCACTTTCACAGGAAATCAGTGAATCAACATGCTCTGAAAAGATGCAAGCCTGATATCTATGGCTGTCTTCGTAGACACAAATAAAAAGCTGAGCAAGCATCGGTGGGGAGGCTCATGTTTTACCCACTGAACTGCTAGCACTGCCTCTGCTATGCTTTTACTGGTATTGATCTTTCAGTTGTGGAGTCACCCTGAATGTTCACTGAGATTCAATGGGCTGCTCGGCACAGCAGCACAATGTAGTCTATGCAAAGTTCAGGACTTGGATACCATTAATGTGCATAATTCTACCGACTGATAAAGAAAATAATCAAGAACAAACTAATTTAGAACCCAGTATAGCAGCCATCTCTGCTATACTGGGTTCCAGAGGCGAATGCTGGAAAACCAGTATTATTACATGTTTTGCATTTCAGTTTTATCCACCCACTCTTAAAAGCGAAAAAACTGCAAATTATTCCTCTCAGGCAACATACTCAAACAATTTCTTTTTAATCAGCTAGAGAAGTTAGCAAGAATAACAGCCTTAAGACAGTAATTACTAATGTACATTTTTTAAAAAGCTAATCAAATAGATCAAAGGAAAATATGAATTTTCAGCCCCCTATGCAACAATCCCAAGGCTCACATCACATTAGTTCTTAGAGGCCTGCAGCACCTGCACAGAGTAGCATAGTTACTCTACATTAAGATAACAAACATCAGGCCTTGGAGCCTTGCCAAAATGGTCGCTTGACAGATTGATAAATCTAAAAATGAAAATGGCTAAATAAGACTCCATGAATAGACCAGCATGACTCAGCCCCCCCACTGAAACCTACCTGCTAACAAATGCTTGCATGGTCCCTGTGGAAGGTCAGAGACTGAAGAACTGAGACAATGCTGCAGGGATGAGAGGGAGAGGCTGGAGAAAAAAGGACTCTAACTGGCCAGGGTGAAGAGAGAGAGAGGAAGAGAAAAGGAGGGGGATGGGGGCACTTCCTGCCTGAATGATGCATACACAATCAATTTAGGCTCCTATGTACCAAGGTCTGATGCAAGCAAGTCTATGCATACTTCAGCTGTGCATGTGAGCAGCAAACACATTTAGCGGTTTATTTGAAGAAATAAGGAGACTATTATCTTTCTTTATCTGGATTATTTGAATCTTTGAATTCTAAAAAGAAAACAGAATTGTGCATTAACCAATCTAGTTATTCATTCCTTAGTTTATTTATCCACTTACTTCAGGATTAAACCTTATCCCATCTACACATAGGAAACTTAATAACTAAATGTACGATTATGGTTAAGTCAAGGCTAAATTTAGCTTCTATAACTATTGAGGTTGTTTGCTAAACTGAGATGAATATAGATATCGATATAAGCAAGACACAGGAAGTATTGGAATCCCTTTTTTAATTTATATAACACATTTTAAAACTTTAAATGAGAGCAGAAATTTGTGGAAAATATGTATTTATCATATTTTACAGCATATCAGTCCATATCAAAGTTGTTGGGTTTTTTTTTTGTTTGTTTTTTACAATTTTCTGTGTAACACTAATATTTAATGAGGTCAAAGGTATATTTCACCTGAACCTTTAGAAGAGTAAAAGTATAAAGAAGCATAATATGGAGATTTATACCTAAACACTGCACCGGAGATAGCACACTTACATATTAAACATGTTTAACAAAATATGAAAGGTGTGACACCTGGCATGCTCAGCTGAATTTTGTTACATTTTGTGGCAAACTGGAAAACCAAAAAGATACATAATTTCTCTATACAGCGGAGTAAAACTATTTTAAGTGCACAGGAGAGTAAAATTTTTTAGTGTTAATAACTAAAGTTTCAGTGCTCATTATAATGTCGTCCAGTACTGTACAACAGGCTCAAGTTTTTAATAAAACTAAGAACTAATGCACTAATATGGCATAGAAGAATGCACTTAAGTTTTAGGGACATAGATAATATTTGATAGCAGCATAACTTATTGTAATAAGGTTCATAGGTTTCTGGACAATGAGGCATTTATTAGAATTTTTCCTCGGTAAACCTGCACAATGGGTTTTATATCAAACAATCAAAATGTTATTGCAGGGCAAACTTTTAGTTTTAATTCAAGTAATTTAACTAAAGTACTGCATTAACTCTTTTAGAATTACAGCCTTTTTCATATATAATATTCCATTTTTAGAGGCTCCTGTGTTGTGGTGTACAGAGACAAAATTATAAAAAAAAATGTGTAACTGTTTAAGATAAGAAACAGACTGAGGTGTTCCTGGCGACCATGGCGACACAACAGCAATTAATCAAGTATACAGAAGTGAAAGAACCAGAGTTTATTTTACAAACATAATTGTTATACTGATAATAAACACAACCTTTAAAAAAAAGTGTGCTCTAGGTTTGTTTTATTTCGTTTTTTTGTAAAAATGCACAGTAAAAATCACTTCTTGGAAACATATTTCACATTTGTAAAATATGAATACACATATTTGTAATTTCCTGAAAAAAAATTAAGAAAAAAAGACATTTGAGATACTAAAATATTTTGCTCTAAGGTTACACTCACTTTAGCAACAATATTTTTGATTATTGGAAAACTCACATTATTTGAAATCATGTTTCTTGCTTTGTTTCTGTTGCTAAACATGTTAATACCGCCATTTGTTCCTCCCTCAATTCATCTTTGCTGTCAGTGTGCTGCAGAAAAACACTTAAATCTGAAAACTACATCAACATTATTATAAAGCTAAGCTTTCGTCAAAAGATATTTTTAGATGATGTATAAAATGAGTCGCCTCTTGGCTTTGTGGACAACTTGTTCTCTAGTTGGTGTGACTGATGCTTTGAATGACATGTGAATACTTCTGCTGTCCTAAAAATGTAACTTAAGCACAGTGCAGGCTCCAACCCCTCATATGCAGAACACTTTGTCCCTGAGGTGCATCATTAAGCTTTTTTTCTAAAGTTGCATAGTCTTTCTATGATTGTTTGTTAAAGACACACAACATTTATTAACATATGATTAATTAAAAAGCAGCAGAGTAATGACAGAGTAATAACCTTTTGACCTCCCTGTATCTCACAATACCACCAGTGTGTTCTGTCTGGCTGGAATTGTAATCAGTTAAAAAGTGCAAATAAAATGATAATAACCAAATCTATAGAGCAAGCACAGCTCTAGTTATTAAACACTAAAAAACAAACATGTCTTTAAAGAGTAAAAAAAAGTTTAATAAACTTTGCCATACCTTTAAAAAAACACTCTTATTAATTCAGTTATTGCATATTATTGATTTTCTACCATTTTTCTTGTAGTTTTTTTCCCCTGTGTAAACAACATCAGGGACACAATGAATTACAGAACTGTAATTGTTGTTTCTCGTGATACATTTCAGGCAGTGACAAAAAGCAGCACACTTTGTCACCAAGACAGGTATTACTTATGGCTTCAAGGTCACAGCTTATGCACTGGCTTCTTGTTATTTCATTAACAGCTTGGTAGAAAATAGTGTAAATTGTTATGACAAGTGGAATTTATTTTCTTTAAAAAACATAATCATTTGATGGGTTAAGGCTTGTTAGACTGTTATTGGCAGGTAAACCCTGAATGACTCATTTCCTTACAAAAACGAGCCATGTTAGATTTTGAGGTACAGGTTTCAGCTCTGCATGTTGATGGAATTTTCGATTAGGTGTGCCTTTCAGAAAGCAAATGAGTAATGCACCTCGACAACAGTGATCAATAACTCTTTCTAACAGTATTTTTTATATTGCAGACAGTGGTGGAAGTCGGAGAAAGCTCCTGTTTTTCTTGATGGATAGGTCCATAGCATAAAAGAATGAAATTTCTTCCTGGTGGTATGCACTCTGTAAAAACATTAAAAAGAAGATATTAGAATGGATATATCAGTAAACACATTTTAGTAAGGCAGAATAGTCAATTAATAACTTGGATTGATAATCAAGTCATTATTTATGAAAAAAAAGAAAGTGAAATCTTACATTTGTCTTCTGGCAAAGCATCAAATTCTAAAAACTCCTCTTCTTCATCAGCCTCCTGTGGGTCCTCTGCACCATGGTTCTCCTCTTCATCTGCTGCTTCCTGCTGTTCGTCCTCTACTTCTGACACTTCTTCCTCTACATCTGGTTGTTCTGCCTCAAGCACTGCCTTCCAAAGCTGCTCCTCTTCTCCAGATGGTACGTGTTCTTCTGACTTCTCCCTTTCATCGTCTTCCGACTCCTCTTTCTCCAACACCGTCTCATCCTCATCTCTTGCTTTGAGGCTCTCATCTTGGACTGTTGAGTCGTCCTCACCTTTCTCTCTTTCAGGTGCCTTCTCTTCATCGCCTTTCCGGTTCTCGTCTTCAGGCATCTGCTCTTGAGCATTGGGTCCCTCCTCTTCTGTCAGTGTTGTGTGTCCCTTCTCTTCTTCTGATACAGTAACAGACTTCTCTTGTTTTGCATCATCTTCCTCTACTGCCTCTGCCTGCTGTGTAGGAACAGTTTCCTCTGTCGCAGACTCCACCTTTTCAACAGGAGCTGTATCTTGTGTATTTAGTTCTTCTGGCTCATCAGACTCTGCCTCTTCTTCCTCTTGGGTGGATGTAACTTTTTCATCAGCTGTAGGAAGAGTCTCTTCTTCTTCTGATTCAGCTGGTGCAGCTACCTCTTCCTCTCCAGCTGCTATGGGTGTCTCTTCTTCAGTGTCTATGTCTTCTACTTTTTCAGTTCCTAAGGCTTCTTCTTCTTCTTCCTCCTCCTCCTCCTCCTCCTCCTCTTCTTCTTCCTCCTCGTCAGTTTCTACATTTTCTACTTCTTGTTCACTGCCCAAGGCTTCTTCTTCAGTTTCTACAGTTTCTACTCTTTTTTCAGCTTCTACAGGTGTTTCTTCTTCTTTTTCTTCACTTCCTGCAGCTTCCTCTTCCTCTTTGGTTTCCGCCTCTTCTTCAGTTGTAGGAATTGTTTCTCCCTCTGTCTTTTCCAGAGGCTTGGTCTCAGGTTTCGTTTCTGCCACAGACTAAGATAAGCAAAGTCATATCAAATAACTGGAGCAAAATATTTACTATTCAGCTATGTAGGCATCTACGTAGGTATCTCAGTGAATGTGACGTGATTAACTGACATACAAAACAGGAAACTGCACCACACGAGTGTAAATGCTGATGTAAATCCATTGGGGAATCCATGCCAGGCAATTAGCTTCTTCAAATTAATGTGATGAAAATGTTATTATGGTTCCTAATGGGCACACTGTGAACGGAAATAGTAAAGAGGCCATGTGTGGTGACAGCATGTGTGTTAAGCCATGTCAAGCATGTTCTGCCATTGAAATGTAATCTAATTAAATGCGATAGCTTAAAAATGTTCTTTCAGTACATATTTAATAACTAATAAATCTAACATATAGTCCTAGATATCTGATTGTATTCCAAGTTGTTATTTATTTTCCTTTTAAAGATAAATCTGGTCTAGCCTGGTTAATCTGATTCTAATGACTGATTTATTTAGAGAGCTATTAGGCCATATTTTTCTTACCTAATCATGAGTTCTCAGGTTCTTGTGGCAGGTTTAAAAAAGTTTAAGGTTTAAGAATCATGTAAATATCACATGTCACATGCAGCTGTACTATATGAATAAACATCAACAAACTTAAAGTAAAAATATTATTAGACGGACTGAATAAAGCAAAACAAAATGATGATTTAATAGATTTGACTGTCAGGACTAAAAGGGTTGTGCTTAACACACAAATATCAAAATTAGATAAAATATTACATCAGCAGGGGCCCTCACATTTGATCTGTTTATTTGCCATTTAACATTAATTTGACCTGACTGCTAAGATCATGATTTGCTACCTTTTTTCCATTTTATTTTTTTCCATTTTGCATTTAATTAATAAGATCACCCAATGGGCTTCTTTGTTATTACGGGCTGCTAAGTTCTGATCCTCCAGACTGTGACGTACCACATTAAGTTCCTGTACTCTGGCCTGATGAAGCCACTGCGACTGCTCATGTTCAAACAACTCTCTGAAAGACAGAAGACAGAATAAATTTCTCTTATGATCTTGTGGTCATTATTTTGTACCTTCATGAAGCTTTACTCACAAAACATACCGATAGTTTTATTACAACACTTCTATTTCAAAGCTCAAATGACAATAATAGCATGTGAGCCACGTTCTCTTGATGGTTATGTAAGCTTCAAAGACTTTTCAGCTTTAAAACTTATGAATACAAAAGAAATATTTACATAGATCATGGCAAACTCACAGTGTGATAAAGAGGCCTACCAACTCTGGTCTAGAGTAACACAGAGTTGCAGACAGTGGCAGCCAACAGGGCTTTGGCAAAGACAACATAAAATCATGGGTGAGAGGAGGCAAGTTATTTCCTCCACTGCTCTTTTTCCCACTCCACCACCTACCTGACAGTAGTCATTTCAACCACGCTAGCCTTCAACTGAGTCTGGTAGGCGTCTAGCTGGTCCTTCAGTCTGAGCATCACAGCAGCCTGTCTATCCAGGGCGGCACTCACTGTGGCAATCTCTCCAACTTTCTCCTCCAGCTTAGATTCTGCTTCTTCCAGGCCGCCTGTCAAGATGTCGACCTTCTGGGCTAGCTCACCAGTCAGTGTGGCTAAAACCTCCACCTTCATTTTAACATCTTCAAACTCCTCACTCTTTCCTTTCAACATGGTCTGCAGCTGGCTCAGTTGCTCCAGAGACACTGTGGCTTGTTGCATCTCTGCCAGGCGGGTTTTCATCTCTGTGTGGAGTGACAGCACCTGAGCGGGGAGGTCTGATGTCTTGAGCTGTTCGGCTGTAGCTAAGGCCATACCCACCTGCTTCTGGGCCAGTGAATAGGACTCCTCAAGGGCATTAAGTCGGGCCTCCACGTTGTCCGAAATATGCTGCTGCAACAAGACACAGGAATGACACAGAGTCAAGCTAAGGGACTATTATCCTCACTTATTTTTATGATTGATAGACTCTTAACTGTCACTGGACAACAATTATGCTTATTGGGAAAAGATTTTGTTACTATTAAAGGGACGGAAACACCAAGGACAGATTTTTGTTAATTTTCTTTTACCTTTATTTGCATTGCATTGTTTGCTTAGATTCTGTATAATATAGTATAATATAATATAACAAATGCTTGGGGGAAGGAAATATGTAGCCACACCAAAATCTCATCATTAACAGGCGTGATCATGAACAAGCCATTTAGGAAATCTCACTTAACAGAGATGAACCTCAGATCTTTGATTTATTTGCAGTTATGCTAAAACTGTCTTTTTTGCATTCTTTATAACCTTTTCTGGATTCTTCATTAAGCTTTCTCCTTACAACATCCTGAAGCATTTCACATTTGTGAGCGACAGAACAATTTACCACTCATACAGAAAATATTTGCCGAACAAGACTGAGCTAGCTGAAATGTTCTTGTGCAAAGTTTCTGCAACCCTGTCTTTTCTGAATAGAAGAAATACTTAAGGGAAGGAAATACAGATATACCTGATACTTCTTGGAATACCATGAATTGAATTTGAAACACATGGAAGAAGACTAAAATACTGAACATGGCAGTCATGAACTACTATTTACTGTTATATAACAGGTTAACACAGGTAATGTGTTTAACTATAAATATAATTATCTCTTACATAAAGTGTGTCCTTTCAGATTTATAGACAGACACACACAACATCGCTCTCTCTGCTTTTCTACAGTCTTTCAGATTGCCTGCAAAGAGCCTCTGAGCTGGTGTTCAGTATCAAAATCACAGACTAAATTTAGCCTTGGCTCATTACTGCCTTGTTTATTATTATTTTGGCAGCATCTTCAGCACAGCTTTGGGGGCATATTCTTGACTGGTATTACAATACAGAATTTTCCACAGAACCTAGAGACTAAAAGAGATCTATTTTACATTTGAGTCATTGGTACAGGCATTTGTAGGTCAAGAATAATCCTCATTACAAACGTCAGCAGCTGTGTGGATGTTAGAAATAGCAGCGTTTTGTACTCACTCCAGTGAGGCTGTTGGCATGTGGAAATCTGATAGAGGCCTGCAGCTAACTTTCCTTACTTGCAACTGACAACGTGTGCTGGAGCATTTTATTTTATTTTTTCTGTGTGTGTGTGTGTGTGTGTGTGTGTGTGTGTGTGTGTGTGTGTGTGTGTGTGTGTGTACAGAGTTTTTTTTTTTTTATTCTAATCTCGTGAAAATATGGTTCACAAGATTGGTTGTTCATTATAAATATTGGCTATCAATAAGTGCATCTGGTGCTTTTGGTGGCTTGCAGTTTTAGGTGACTGGATATATTCTTACCTTGTTGCCAGACTGTCGCATTTCTTCGTGGGAGGATTGTAGTTTCACTATCTTCATCTGTATGCCCATGAGATTGTCTGTTAAGTAGGTTAAAGTTTGGTACTGCTGGAAACAGAACCACACTCCGGTGGCACCTCCAATCACAAAAATCAGAAATAAAACCAATAGAAGTGTGTAGTTATTCCCTCCAGGGCGAACTTCTGTCTCCATAACTTCATTTTTGAATATGTTATCTTCATGTTTGTGGTTGTTTTTCGCTTTCCGGTGCTTGGCTGTCATTGCGCTAAAAAGGACACAACGTCCGAATCAGGTAGTGAGGTGATATTTAAGGACCCGGTGGGTAAGCACGCTTGGGCCGTGGTGTGAGCAGTGATTTACTTCGGATGGATCCTTTAAGTTGCGTGGTGCACCGATCGGCCCGGGTTAATCACTCCACAATAAAGCTGCAGCGGGTCGTTGGCGAAGCAGTAGTGAGGGAGGTGTGAGAGGGAGGCGTGAACAGTAGGTAGCGTGGTTGTCCATTCAGGAAGATCAAGGAGGAGCGGAGGGCCGGGCTGCCATCAGGAGTGGCTGAGCCCTGAGTCACGGTGATTGACTGTCATCTAATGGAAACACTGCACGTCCGCTGATGGAGTGCCGTGCGCTATTTTTTTTTACTTCAGAAGCCATAAGTGTAAATGGCAGGTCTGCACGTTTCCACTGTGGACCAGACTCACTCTAGTATTTAACAAAAGGGTGCCATAAGAAAATATTCATTAAGTACAATTAATTTTCTTTTATATTGAAAGTGTAATATAAAATGTTACTTTGGAAAGGCCATGTTCAGTGTCACTCTCTGACTCTGTAAAATTCCCCTTTGCAGTAAAGGTCACCTTCAGTTTCTAAAATGTCAACATTTTCTTGGTCTTTGCTGCTTTGTTTCAGTCTTCCTCGTTAGTTTAAAGGTTCAGCTCCATTTTTGAATGTTATGTTTCCTTTTCAGCTGATACTTCATTTCTACATTTATTTTTGTCCTTCGTGTTGTCTTTTGTCTTCCCGTCTCTCACATTTTCCCCAATAACTATTCTTGTTGTTTTTCTTAGCAGAGCTACTAAACACCCATCCAAACATATGCCTTCAATAATGGTTGACAATTAAAAACTATAGGGAACAGTAAAAACGATTGACATAGACTGTTCTCACTTATAACGTATTTTGCAAACACTAACATTACCGCTAACAGGTGGATTTTCCGTTTCGGTGCAGTTAGCCCAACAACAAGGAACCACTTACTTTATCCCTATTTTTTTTGTTAACATAAAACGCATTGTTGCAGCCAGGGACAGTTTACAAAATGATCTTCTTAGAATGATTTTTGGTTTTAGTCTCATTGATTTATTATTATTGGTTATTGGTTCTGTTTCTGGTTTATTAAGCTAATAATAATGATGACGATAACAACAACAACAGTATTAATCTATTAGCCAGCACCAACCAATCCGTTGACATTCTGTACTGACACAAGATGGCACTAAACATCTTCTAAAAACTTAACTGTAAACACTTCTTTCTTAAAGCCATCTTCACCAACAGTATTAAAGCTATGACAGTTTTTGAGAGCATGGCTCCATGGTATAATTTAGCCTTTATACGTATAAATACATATACATGTTTCCTGTCCACTTAAACGTTTCCATCATATTTTTTTTATTTATTAATTCATTTTACAAAATATGACATAAAGAAATTTTGCCTCACAGTTACCTATCAGGGGATTATATGTGTAGTAAATAATACAATACACATTTCTTTGCGAGGCTTTTTGACAAACGTTCTGATTGTACCACTGCTGTAGTATTTAAAGTGTATGCCTGCAATAAATTATAGCCATCTTTACAAATAACTCTCAAGTATTTGTTCAGATGATTCATCAACTGATCTAATATGTGATGGGTATTCTGCTGGTTACTGGATTAAGGGCTCAACCAAGACTCTTTAAATCATGACCAAAAACAAACAGGAAACCTTGTCGAACCATAAACAAATGTAATTATTTTTTAATTGTATTTATTTATTTATTTTATTTTAGTACCAATTCAATAAACAAGAGCACAATCTTGCCAATCATCCTGTGCTACACAGTTGATCTTTCAAAAAAATGTTGCTCACACCGTACTGGCATCTTCCATGTCTTCACTCTGTGTGAGAGAAAGAGATACAGATTTATTGACCTTTACTATCACCCCCCCAACCCCCCCAACAACTAACCCTCACCGTAAATACAGCCAGTATATTTTCTTCTCACCTCTGACATTAAGGATGGTGGAGCATTCGGCTCGTCCCAAGCTGTTCTCTGCAATGACGCTGTACTCTCCCATGTCTTTGGGACCCACACGGAGGATTAACATGGTGCAAACTCCACAGGTGTTGGAGATGTAATAGTTGGTATTAGTGTTTAGACTGATGTGATTTCGATACCATGTTATGCGAGGTTTGGGGTTTCCTTTCACTGCACAGCTCATATAGCATTCATAACCTTTGGGTGCAGTGTGCAGCTTCAGTGGAACAATGAAGGATGGGGCACACCGCAAATCACAGTCCTTCATGGTTGGTACACTTACTAGAAACTTTTCTATGAAAGAGCAGACACAGTATTATCATTTTTTTCTTAAAAAGTGAGTATTTGGACTTTATGATTGTTTGAGATGACAAACACACCTTTCTTCTTCTCCACCTCCCAGGTTGGTGACTCAGAGGGTGCAGATATGCCCATGTCATTTTTGGCATAGACCCGGAAATGATATTCCCTTCCATTTATGATATTGCAGACTGTGAACTTGTTATTGAAGAGCCTGTCAGCCACTGTGACCCACGAACGCTTGGTAGAGTCCAGTTTGGACACGGTGTAGTGGAGACGGTCATCACGCTTCTCATCAGGAGAAGGTTCCCAGATTACTGTCACAGTACCAGGCACATTTTCTTCCAGTTCTACTGGTCCAGGTGGTTTTGGATCATCTGCGAACAGTTTTACTTTCATCAGATCCATCAGCTTTTGTTACGAAAAGATGTTGCAAAAGAAAACGAGTATACAATTATAGTTTTATTTTACCTGTGACCCTGACTTCTGCACTTAATGTTTCCTGCCCTACGAGATTTTTCACCAAAATGGAGTAGATGCCGGAATCAGAGCGCTCAGAAGAAGGAATCAGCAACTGGGAGGAGCCATCAGAGTTACTGATTGTGATCCGCTTTGTAACTGGCACATTATCCTTTAGCCAGATAATTGCTGGCCGAGGAGAAGCCTGTTTAAAAAAAGGAATATCTTCAACATTTTCTTTTATTGCCTCACCCGTTTCGTTTTGCGAAACCATGGTTTGCCTGATTTTAAAACTGAAATATCATTCTCACCTCAAAATTGACTGTGATCCTGACAGAGTTTCCTGCCCGCACAACAAAGAAACTCTTCATCTTGTGGTTTGTGAATCTTGGCCTCACTGTAGTGGTGACAAAATAAATAAATAAATAAATAAATAAAAAAAAAACAAAAAAAAAAAAGGTTTTGTACCATATTGTAATTTATCATGGTTCGTAATTGGAATGAACAAAACTATATAAGAAAAGATAAATCATCACAGAAATGTTGTATTCTACCAAGAACGAGTGAATTTTCTGGGGGGGTAAAAAGTTTTATTTAAAACAAAAAAAAAATCATTCTTAGCAGCAACAAACCAACAGAATCTGAAATATCTAAGACTTGTTGACATACCTGGTGAAGGCATTGCCAGTACATAGTTGGGCAGCTCCTCGGGCTCACTCTCTCCTCCATCATTAATGGCAATCACTCTTACCCAGTACATGTCCATGGATTTCAGGCCTTTCACACTGAAGGAAGTCATGATGATGGGGGTACTATTACAGCGGGACCATTCGATGCAATCTGCTTGCCGAATCTCAACAAAATACCCTCTTGCTTCATCCTGTATGCCTGGTTTGTCTTCTGGTTTTGTCCAAGTTAGGACCAAGTGGTTGTAGGAGGTTTCTGTCACCTTAAGGCCTGTAACTTTACCAGGAGGCTCTGGTGTAGTTCAAACATCAGATATTTAAGTTTTGACTAAGCGATACTTGTTAATACATTTTTTTTAGTCTTTTGTTTCATGTAGAATAGTTGCAACACTTACTCTTAGGATCTCGTGCAAAAACAAACTCTGAAGGGCTGCTAAATTCACCTGCTCCTGAGAGATTTATGGCAGTAACTCTGAATTCATATTCCATACCCGCAACAACATCCTTCACTGCATATTTCTTTTCTACAAAAGAGTTTACATGGAGAAAGACAGAAAGAGAGGAAGGGAGAAAAACAACAGCAAAAAAGAGTCCTGTTATGCTCTAATGTCATCAGGTCCATCAGATTAAACTGAGGTAAGTTAAAAAATACGCACCATTTATGAGCTCATCATTGGCATTGACAACAGACCAGAGATTACTTCCCTTCTTTCGTTTCTCCAAAATATAGCCCAAGATACGTGAACCTCCCGTGTTACTTGGAGGAGCCCATGAAAGATTTATACAGTCATCAAAAGCGCTGGCCACTTTTGGAGGTGCTGGAGGGCCAGGGAAGGCTGAAAAATTCAGAAACGAAATAGATTGTGCTGGTAATGGTTACAATCAGAAAAAAAAGAAAGCTTTTTTGTTACTTGAGACCAAAATGAAGAAGCAGCCTTGAATCGGAGCACTGTAATTTATGTAGATAAAACAATAACTGTACATATAAACATTAATGTTTTAGCTATGCATGTTCATTTATCAACGTGTACTATGCTGAAATGATTAACATCTAAACTGATAATTGATAAGTTAATTTCATTTACAACACCAGGCTTCACACCTCCTCCAAGGCTAAAAAGGTCTCTTATTTTCATAATGCAGTATATGTATATCATATATGTATATCATCCTATCTAGGTTTCTCTCTCGGTGGTAAACTGTCCCAAAAATTCCTGGCTGTGGACTGTAATCCAGATGGATCCCAAAGTTAAGTTGTGCCAAGCCCCATCACTGGTAAAAAATTTCATGGAAACCTCATAACTTTTTCAGTAATACCACTAACAAACAGACACACAAACAGGTAATCTGAGCCAACTACATATCCTCCTAGACAGAAGTAATGGTTAATAATGAAAAGAGTAGTTGTTTACTGCGCATCACTTGATTCATTAAGAAAGGAGAATATGGCCAGTAAAGCACAGTAGGGGGCAGTAACGCCGCTTTCCTACCGGTTGATGCATTTTGAACCATATTTTGGACATGCCACAGAGAGGCAGAGCAGATCTAAATAATGACGTTTGCTGCTTAGATTAGCTGCATCAGTTTCAGGGTCCTGTTAGCTCGTTGTTACACTGTAGGCGAAGAGTCATTAGTGTTATCAGTTGTAACACCTGCGTTTTCCAGGCTGCTCTGAGGGAAAACAAGCCTCCATTCCCAGAACACCGGCACACAGGGACAAATTCACTGGTAAAATTTGTTGTGGCTGGTTATATGTACCCGTGCCTGTATTTTCTATAATTAACTATAAAATCATTTGCATTGATACAAGCTACTTATGCCACTAAATTATTCCACTAGTATAAACTTGAGTCTTTTAGGACCGGAAACTGATAAAACAGATGCTTGTTTAGCTATCCGTTTTAAGCTAAAGCCTAAGCTATAACTTCATGTGTCATTAAAATTCCTCTATGAAATACAGAAAACAGGCGAGCTTAAGTCCATAGGTGGGAGTAAAGAAGTACAAATACTTCGTTACTGTTTCAGGTATCTGTACTTTACTTGAGTAGGGTTTTTTTTTGTTACTTTAACTCCCTACTTTTTTAAGTGTCTGTACTTTGTACTCCTTACATTTTCAAAACAGGCTCGTTACTTTTGTTTTAAAGCATTTGGATCGAGTTGTTATTTCGAAAAAACATCAAACCGATTTCAGAGTAAAAACAGAAACAGTCACAGAAACACATCAATGGCAGTTTGTCACCAGAGGATGTAGCGTAAAGAGATATGACGTGTGCCAAAGTCAGGATATTTTTCTTTCTTTTTTGTGTGTGAAAACATCGGAACTGCTGCAGGTGTCTGTAAGTTGCGGTCCTTAAGCATCTAACTCGCCCTACAGAAGATCAGCGAGCATAGAGGGAGTGACGGAGGTAAATTCAAATGCAGCGTTTCTGTAAGCTAAGGAAACACACAAACTGTTTGTGTGCAGTTTAGCAACAAAGTGTGTTGCTAGCTAAAGGTCCGGCTGCTGTATTTCACAGGGAGAGAAAAGAAAGAGAGCTAACTTCACTCAGAGATGGAGAAAGATAAGAAAGACCGGACAGGAGAGAAAGAAGAGAGGTTAGATTAAAGGTAAGGACTGCTCAGTTGTATTGTATAAAGTAGAAATGTAAAGCTTACATTTAAGTCATGTTTTTATATCAGATATTTGGGTCAGTACATGGGATTTTTTTTAATATTGTGAAATGCTGCAAATGAAATTGAGACAGACTAAGTGTTATTTTAAAGGTTGTATGAAAATACTTTGCAGTGTAGTGAATTTAAAGTAAGGAAAAGTGTGTGACTGGTGCACCATGGCTGCGGTTTCATGGTCGGTTTCATGGCCAGAGTAAGGTTAGATCAAGTATAGCAGAGAATTGTAGATGAGTTTTAGCAGATGATGCTTAGATTCATTAACTAAATTCCACCTTCATACCCACTTTATAGAATCTAGAAAAAAGAGCATAAACAGTGTACTGTCAGTGTAGAGCAGTGGTAGGGAACTCCAGGCCACAAGAGCCGGTGTCCTGCAGGTTTTAGAACTCACCCTGGGTCAACACGCCTGAATCCAATGATTAGTTCTTTACCAGGCCTCTGGAGAACTTCAAGACATGTTGAGGAGGTAATTTAGCCATTTAAATCAGCTGTGTTGGATCAAGGACACATCTAAAACCTGTAGGACATCGGCTCTCGAGGCTTGGAATTCCCTGCCCCTGGTCTAGAAGGTGGAAATGAATTTGACTTTGAATCTGAAAAGGACTGAAAAGGCTGGTCATGTGGCTACACTGCCAGGATCATGTTTTATAAATTAAAAAAAAAAAAGCTTAGTTTTAACAGCTGGTGAGAATAACTGGATTCAGGTGAGGACCATTTCAGGCTTGTCAAAAATGACAAGTCTAGCCAGTATTTCTGCAAAGCTGTACAGACAGATGGTCCAGAGGGACACTTTGAAATATTTTTCAAGCAGATCTGCAAACAGTAAGTACTTTCTTTGCATTATGCTGTGCAGTGGTTTGTGTGTGTTATGTTTTAGCTGTGAGCTATAAGAGAGCGAATGCTTGTTTTAACCGTTTTATAGTTACCCACTGTATAGTTTACCCACTTTGTAGCCTATGTGCCATCATCACATATACACTGTATATATCTTACAAGTAAACTGATTGGGAGATCACATTTGGCTTTTAACTGTATGTCAGCAACCTGAAGTTTTGACTGGCAGATTTTTAAACCTTTTTGAAAACTGGTGACAGTGAGCAGTCACAAGGTCGTCTATTTGGCATTTCATAATGAAAAGCTTCCTTTTCTGTTGAAGACAAATGAATCCCACAATAAAAATCAATATATGAAGTTTGCATTCTGTTATTTCTGTGTGATTGAGCTTGGTGAGTAGTCAGCTTTGCTTACCAAGTGTGCCAGCTTGCATTTCCTCAGTTTCCATAACTTCGCTTGTGCCTTCTGCAGTCACTGCTCGGATGCGGTAACAGTATTTCCGCCCTCGCTCTACGCCTGTGTCTCGGTAACTGGACACACCTGGTATTTCCGCTATTTTCTTCCAGGTGTTTCGCCCCACTTGCTGACGCTCCATTATGTAGTTAATCACTGGGGAGCCACCATCATCCTTTGGAGGGCGCCATCTAAATTCAATACATGTAGCTGAGCTCTCTGTTACCTCTGCAGGACCCAGAGGTGGGGTTGGTTTGTCTGAAATGGCAATAAAGTTTTATAGAAAGTATGGAAATACATTTACAATGTTCATAATAGAGACAGTATTTACGTAGAACTAATAATTACAGGACTTTTTAACAGAAAAACAACTTTGCACAAGTTTTCAAATCAGTTGTCAAATATATTATGAGGGTATGTCAGTCGAGATTTTTACTGCTGTTTGAAACCTATATTTATCTGTTCAGCTTCTGCATTGTCCATAATTCACTCACCAAGCACAATAAGCCGTGAGAGTGCCTCAGTGAAGCCGTGTTCATTTTTTAGCTTGATCTTGATCTCTCCTGTGTCCTTCCTCTGGCATCTGCTCAGAAGCAACCGGCTTTGGCTTGCAGATTTTTCTATCCTTGTATTGTTGTCATCTTGGAGCTCTTCTCCTTCTCTGAACCACTGAATCTTTATGGGTTTGTGTCCAAGAAAATGCAATTTGAAGATGGCATTGTGCCCCACTTTAACTGTCTTTGGCTCAGTAAAAGCACTGAGGTCTTCAAGGTCAAACCTGGGAGGATCTAAAGAAGTTTTTAGGAGTTGGAGAAGTATTATGTTATCCGTGATCTGCTTCAACATTTCTTTATTAGTATGTCTGTACATTTTCCATTTAAAGTTTGCAAAATGTCATGCTTTAATGAGCAGTTCTCAAACCTTTGACATTTATCATTGCCTCTGTTTTACGGCCATCTGCCTCAAAACGGTATTTTCCAGAGTGCTCTTCCGTGCACTTGCTTATGACCAATTTATGAATTGGCCCAGCTTTAGTTATGGAGAAACTTTCATCTTGGAATATCTGATAGGAAAAAGAGCAAACAGTTAAAAGTAAAGAAAAATTAGGCTTTCAAAGGGGGCTTCTTGTCCAGCTGTGTGTGTCTCCCACATGGGCCTAAAGTACTTGAACACTGGCAAAAGATTTGAAGTAAATTAAAGATGAACAGCTGTTCAGTGAAACCGGTGATGATTTTCAGACATCAGTAATGACACTCTTTATTTATTAAATGTCAGTTTTGAGCTTTTAAAAAATTTAAAATACATCAATAAGGAATTAAACTTTAGCGAGGAATGACAGAGTGCTACATTTACATACAGTTAGGTCCATGAGAATTTGGACACTGACAGTGTTTGTAATTTTGCCTCTGTACACCACCAAAGTAGATTTTAAATCAAGATGTAATTTAAGTAGAGACTTCCATCATTAATTTAAGAGGTTCAGCAAAATGTTGCATTATGTTTTGGAATTACTGTTTTGTTTTTGTTTTTTATATATAGTCAGCTTATTTCAGATACTCAAAATTAACTACCACAGGTAAAAATATAAGAATAGTTGGATAAATATCCCATCCTATCCTGAAGTTTAGAGGGGTATCACCAAAAGCTGTGTTTCCCACCTAAACTCTTTTAGATGTTTTCAGTCTTATCTGGTGTTCTTGTTCTTCAGCGTAACCAGTGGTTTGCACCTTGTTGCACCTGTCAAATGCAACTTTAACACTTGAAATCAACTCCAGATATTTTATATGCTTAATTTGTCACAGAAAATGTAGGAACAAGCTCCATCTGGCTATGAAACTGCTTGTTAGTGAATTGTCCAAATATCTTTAATCCTCTATAAAGGCTATAGGCAAAGCTACTGCAAAGCTAAAAGTTTGCACTTCAATGCACAGCATTTTGTTAGTCAGTTTGTTGCAAGAGCGAGCTTGCAACAAACTGACTTCATTCAGGAGATGCAAAGACAGAGAAAAGACTAGAACAGACTGGAAAAGAAGGGGATCTAACAGGGATGAACAAGAAGCAAGAACTTTAAATATAAATATAGTACTCAGAGGCTCTCAAGAATCTGAACACAAGGACAGTATCTCAGAATTCTAAAGAACTAAACAACAAGTCTCAGGACAATCACAGTGTTTGCCAAAAAAATGTAACTGTCCAAATACATATGACCCTAATGCTACTTAAAAAAAAAATAAAAAATTATTTTGTTGCTGTTACAATGGACCTGTTTTCTTTTTTTTCTCAGTTATGAATTCGTTAGGCATGGTATGACAATTTATTGATCCACTGTCACAGTAACTTGGGTGTGTGGGTGAACACAGAACTGTACCAGAACAGAAATATAACATGTATATGTTTGTTTGACTAACCTGTTTGCCATCTCTGAACCAGGCTCCTTCACAGTCTTCACTGCTAAGCTTACATGTTAACTCAGCGATCTCATTGATGATCGCACTGACATCAGTCAAACCACAGATGAACTGAACCCCTGGATCTAAGAACAGTTAAAATGATTTTTGGAAAATCTTGGGCATGAAGTGTGACACCAGTCAATACACTTTAATGGATTTTGGATATTGGTAGATGAAATAAATTATAAATGTATAATCTTACAACAACAAGTCTTTTCTATCTGTAGATCAGTTTAGTTTAGTTTAATATAATAGTTTTATTTTATTTTTTTCTTTTCCATCCACAAATAAATAGCTGAAACTTTAATGTTTCTTTCACTATCTATCAACAAGTTCAGAATGTTGTTCAGGTATGTTTATGCGGGTAAAGGTAGTCATGTCTGTGTTAATAAGACAGAAATACAGTGGAATAATTCAGCTAATTGAGTTTTACATGTTTAAGTGTTAATCAGTTTAGTTAAACAGATTATTAATTAAAAAAAACATCAAAAAACAAAAAAGAAAAACCCTTCTGGTTTAGAAGAATTCTTTGTCTCCAACTTACCAACCACCAAATCTTCGATCGGAGGGGCGTGTCTTTTACGCCTCATATGTGTTGAAGATTCAGTCTCATCCTCAGTCTCGTCACACCTAATGTCGTCTTTCAGACTTGCACTTTCACCTTTAAAACAAAAATCTTCTCTCAGCTAGAAGAGTTCTTTCAAAATCATACCATATATGGTTTTAAGCAAAACATATATCCAGGAATATATCCTTGAGTTTCCTCATGGAGGAAATTGAATCATACAAATTCCCCTTGCAATGCCACACTAATTGTGCTCCCTTACCATCGAGTGCATCCTTTGGCTTTTGGTCTTGCTTTGGAGAAATTGTGTGCTTGTCCTGGTCAGTAGCATCTTCATCCTCATCATAGCAACTTGATTCATTTTCACTTGCTAGTTCTTTTGGATCTGTGTCAGGTATTACATGCACAACTTTATCCAGTGAATTTTTAAGTAATAATTTTGATGTTGATTTTGTTCTGCTGCATTTTATTTTCTTTGATTAATTAAGAAAAATATAATTTAAAAAGTGCTAAGGGACATCTTTCTGAATTTTTACACTATTGAAGATAAAGCTTCTATGCTAACTGTGTCATTTGAAGCTTTGACAGCAATTCTCATGGTGCAATATCACTTAAACTTAAACTGTTTTACAATAATAATTCACGACTATAATATACAAGTGCAAATAGAAATGGCCCAAAACTTTGTAAGGGTTTGAAACAAAAGTCTCAGATACATATTGGTTACATTTTATTAAAAAAATACAAATGAAAGAAAATGCATTTTGTAATTCAATATTGCACAAAAACTGACAATAATAAAGCAATAAACAGTTTTTCCATCTGTACATCAGTGTATTGGGGTTGCTGTGGCTCAAGAGGAAAGTTGATGCTTAGATTCCTGGCTGCTCCACTCTGCATGATGGGTAACATACTGAACTCCAAGTTGCGATCTGATGTATTAATCAGATTATGAATGTGTGTGAATGTTAGGTACAAAACATCAGGTGCAGGAAAAAGTGCCTGTATGAATGGGTGGGAATAGGTAAATGGGGCATGCTGTATAAAGTGCTTTGAGTGCTTAAGTGGAGTTGAAAAGTGTTTTATAATTTATATCTACATATTTATATCTAATACACATAAGTATAAATCTTGAATAAGATATAGTGCATTTTCATGCAGTCATTCAGCCCTTACCAGATGTTTGTTGTTTCCATTGGACTTTCTTTCTTTTCATTTGTTTTTTGACAGACCCAGTGGAATTATTGTTTCTATCAGATTCCCCCAGCTCTTGTTGACTAATGGTAAGCATTTGAGACTGGTCTGCATCCATAAATTTGTCAGTTGACTCTGGACAGACACAAAACAAGATTAAAGGTCAAAATATTTATTTACATATTTAGACTTTTCGGTCTATAACAAGGGAATGGACACACGTACTGCTTTGTATGTTTCTTACCAATTACTCTGATTTCTGAGTCACGACTTTGTTTTAAGTATTTTGATTTAGTTGCATGTCCAGTGAAGTTCTTAGTCTCCTCAGAATAATCTTCTTGATTTTCACCTACCAGTTAGAAATAAAAAAAAATGGTGATTTTTTTTAAAGTCGAAAGTCTTTTAAAAATATTTGTTTTTCAGAGATTTAATTTCCAGCCTGCACCAGTACCAGTAAGCAACTATGTCATACTATGGCTTATAGTTGGGTAACCAAATATTAGCCAGGAACGACACAAGTTAATACACTCTGTTAATCTTTTGAAATAAGTAGCAGTAAGCGTGCATGTTTTATCGTCAGCACAGTTTTAGCCACACTGCCTATTCACTGCAGTGCTGGTAGTAGAAATGCTTTGGTAAGACGTGAAGGGTGAGACAGAATATGGGACTGATAGGAGTGATAGGACAGTTTAATGGAGTTAATTTTAAGGAGATAATAGATTTTGTTGAGTTTTTGCTCCAAAGGACAGGGAGGGTACTGGCAGAGTCAGAAATACATGTTTTTACCTTGTCCAGTAACTTTACTGTATTTTCCACCTGTGCTTAAGATTAAAGTCAGTTCTTCTAATGCCAGTTCTTCTAAAGATAGTTTGTCGGTTATATGTACTGCTCCGTATTTTGCATTTACTTCTGCCAAGAGTTTCTCCATCTCCCCTTGTATTTTTAGTTGCTGCTCTTGGGCCACTTTCTCAATGTCAGTCCGTGCTCCACGAGCCACAGTAGTTTTACGGGGTCTCCTCTCACCACCAGGTGCAGGATTACTGTCAGCTTAAAAGTTAGAAGTACAACGTAATTAGTTATCTAATAATAATAGTAATAATAATAATGATGATAATATGAAAATAGCAATGGTTAAGGTAATGTTATACAGTGATACCTTCCACAACCAACCAGGCATTGCAGGATGTATTGCCAACCACAGCGGAATAGATGCCTTTGTCCAGCATCTGGCAGTCCTTGATGAGGAGCCTATGGATGAGTTTGTGGTCTGACATAGTTAAATGATATTTTTCTCCATCCTCCAGGATGTTGCCTTTGCCCATCCATGTGATGTTAGGTAGCGGGTGTGTCAGGACACACTCAAACAAAGCATCCTCCCTTTCTTCAGCTTTAATCTCTTGAATTTTGATCACAAAGTCGACTTTGGAAACTACAAAAAAGTAAAATATTATATTCATGTGATTTTCTTTTTGATATAATATATGTATCATCAGTATTGGTCATCTTCTATTCAATTAGAGAATGTAGAGAACATTGCAAGACTATTATTTGGACATGATTGTGTGCTTCAGTACATTCAGTGTCAGCTGTTAAAGTTATGTTACTGGATAAATATAATGGCTACTGTCTGCTTATGGGCTAGTCAGTAAATTTTTTACAAGCTTTAGCATATGCACATTTGTTTAAAGTCGAATGTACAACAAAAACAATATGCAAATGCCCAAATGCTTATGTTCTGAAGACTCTTTTTTTTTTTTTTTTTCCAGGTCTAGCCATAGCTGGTTTTTAAACCTACATTTAAACTCTGCAGGGAGTATGAACTTTTCAGGATCCATTTGAGGCAGCCCTGCATTTCGAAGGTTGGCCTCTTGAATATCCCCCTTACAAAGCTCTGTGTCCTTTTGCATCAGGCCATCAATAGAGAAATTCGTTGTCCTTCCAACACTCTTTAGACTGTGTTTCCCTGTTTCATTTTCATCATAGGGAATTATATCATCCTGCTAGGTACACAGAAAAAAAGAACCTTCATGTCATGATGAATAGCAATGTGGTATAATGATACGACTTCTATAAAAATTGAAAAGTACACTGTGCTGGAAGCACTCTTTCATCAAGGACTACGGAACTTTATGATTGCATGTATTATGCGTTTTTAATGAAAGTCAAAATTATCAACATTTTTCAGTTGTTTTGAAATCACAGCTCCAGCGTATTTCTGACTCATTTACTGCTTTGTATATTACTTACAGTACTTACACACAGTACAGGAATCAGCAAATTGATATCTCTGACCTGGATTGTTGGTTACTATTTTAGGAAATTAATACAAGCATTTTTTTTTTTCCCTTTTTTGGTCCTAAATGAAGAGATCTCAGAAGTGAAAGGAATGCAGTTAATAATATGAACACTTAAAAAGATGATATATGCCTATGGCTAAGTGTATACACTCACTTTAGTAGGTAATGATGTTTGGCCCTTGGTTAATGCAAAGTTTAACAATAGAAAATCGGAAAAAGGTTACTTCTTCTGATGAGTCTCAATTTCTGCTGCAGTATTCAGATGGTATAGGATCAGATTTTCAAAGCATGAGAGCACTGATTCATGTTGTTCAGGCCGGTAATGGTGTGAAGGGGGCATTTTCTTGGTGTACTTTGGGGCTCTTAGTACAAATGAGCCATTCTTTAAATGCTACAACCTACCACGTCCATACCTTTATGACTGCAGTTTACCACTCTTTTAACATCTGATTCTAGCAGGATAACAGGCTTTGTCACAAAGCACGGATCATCTCAGCCTGGTTTCTTGAACATGACAGTGAATTCACTTTACTCAAATGGCCTCCAAAGTCACCTGATGTCAATCCAATAGACAACCTTTGAGATGTGGTGGAATGGGAGCTTTGTTTCATGGGTGTGCAGCCCGAAAAAATGTGCAGCAACTCAATGCTATATAATCTCTGAGGAATGTCTGCAGCATGCTGTTGATTCTATGTCATGAATAATTCAGAGGGTACAATGGACTCCAACCTGATACTAGTAAGGTACCTAATAAAGTGGCTATTGAGTGTAGTTAATAGTTATTCTGCTGATGTCATATTTGCATTTGAACTATCAACATATTGTTGCAATGCACAGTATGAGCTTGGTGAGTATTCAGAAAGTGCTTCATCAGCAGCTGAGTCAAATAATAATTGCACTCCATGACTGACACCTCAAGAATTTACTTATTAATTCTGAGTTTTAGAGATTAAGATATCGTATCCAGTGTGAGAGTTGGGTGTTTTTATACCTTCCTCTTATTTTGTGATTTCTCCTTCTTCTTTTCATCCAGTTTCTTGAGAATCAAATGTAAGTCTTTAACACCAAATTCTGAACAGATGCGCTCATAGTCGTTCCGGTCAGCTTTTAACATGGCATCCCAGAACCTTTCATCAGATTCTCCATCTGCTCTCTCTACTTTACTGAAGATAACAGGAAAATATTAAATGTAATGTATTTAACTGTCAAAAAAAAGGATCAGTTAGGGAATTAATCCTTATATACTCCTGCAGAAATGTCCTCTTTTAAAAAGTAATAGGTTACAGTTCTTACCTCTTCTTCAGCAGTTTTCTGAAATCTGCTGGATTTGTTGAAGCTGAAAACAGCAAATGAAATTCAAGTTTTATTTAAATAAATACCAGTTTAAAAACACATTGAGTCCTATATAATTTTTGTAATAAAAAAATAACAGAACTAGGCCCTTAGACCTACAGTGTTTGTCTTGTTTTTCAGTGTCTGTCATTATAAGCTTAAATAATAAGAAATGTTAAAATCTACAAGAGCACTCCACCAATAGAAAAACTCTTCCAAATGCACACTAAAAGAAAGAAAGTACAGAATCCTCTTTAAAAGTATTTAATGGGCAAGACTTACCCTCAGTCACAGTTAATGTTGTTGTGCAGACAGCTTTTCCATATTCGTTTGCAGCAAAGCATTTGTATGTATCTGTTTCTGCAACAGACACTTTGTGAATCTGGAAATATTCATTTATGTGTCAATTCACATACAAATACATTATAGATCAATACATTCATGAGGAAAAAAAACAGTATCAGTACTAAATACTTCAAGATCATCATGTGGAATAATTTATTCACTCACCTCTAATATATGCTCCTCAGTTAATTCATCATATTTAGTCTGAAATTTTTCCTTATCTGAAAGAGTTCCCTTAGCTCTTCTCCATGACACATCTGGTTTTGGATCCCCTGTCACCACAGCCTTGAAAACAGCTAATTTTCCTAAAAGACATGTCTTCTGTTTAATAATGTGAAAGATATTGCTGAAACCAAAAGCAACAATATCTTTCACTAATGGATCAGTTTTAATGGTCAGTTATAATTTAAAGCACCCACCTTTCTCAATAGTTACTGCCACTGGTTTACACTGGAAATCAGGGGTGCTTTTTCCCTCTGGCATGTTTACTAAATACTGCGTGATCATCACTCCAGAGGTCTTAGATCTCTTCCGAATAGCAGCTAAACAAAATGGGGGGGAAAAATAAGAAACTGAGTTAATCATAAGAATTAATCATGAGTTTGCTGGTTTTGATTGAACTAAACGGATTTCTTTTTTGCTACCAGCAGATGTCAGAAATGTCAAACATTTTCCCAGTGACAATTAGTGTGTTGACAGCAACAGTAACTTTGCAAATGGAAAGTACAGTGCATAAATCTTACTGCTTTTGATTCCAGGTTTAGTTTTCAGTTTTTCTAAGTTATACCAGCTCTAGTAGCACGTAGGGTAATCAATTTATGTTCCTTAATTTTGGAGATGTGAATAGTACAAAATCTTGTCTGTCGGCTATGGTTCACGGTAACATCTATCGCTTGAAAAAGAACATGATGTTTTTCTTGGATATCTTAAATGTGTATTGCTTTAGAATGGTACTTTACATGGTAATTAGGACAAAAAAAAAACTCTTAGAAAACACCAGTTTCACAAAGCTGAAGGCAATGTCCATACCCTTTTTTTTTTTTTTTTTTTTTTTTTTTTTTTTTTTTTTTTTTCTTTAACATGACTAACATCCAAAATTTAAATATCTTACATGTTGAATTCCCCTCACTGTCCACTTTATTAGGTAAACCTTTTAAACTCCAGCGTGGATCCTCTTTTGCTTTCAAAAGTGACTTAATTCTTTGTGACATAGATTCAACAAGCTGCTGTACACATTACCCTTGGATCTATAATGATATGATAACAGCACACAATTGCTGCAAATTTGTTGATTGAACATCCATGATGTGAATCTTCCCATATGGAAAAGAGATATATAGATATATAGATAGAGATATATCTCTATCTATATATCTATATATCTATCTTATAAAGTTTGTATCTGTCATGTGTGAAAAGCATATATGAGTGAAAACAGATATAAGATACTTGAAAAATTATATAATGAAACTTGTATGTTTTGGATACTTACTAAAACAATGTATGAAAGTAATGAGAAAGTGGCCACTTTCATGAGTAATCACATAAGTTTTTACTATTTCTTTTCCATATGGGTTCCATTCGACCATATCCCAGAGTTCCTCTTTTGGACTGGGATCTGGTGACTGTGGAGGCCATTTGAATACGATGAACTCATTGTCTTTTTTCAAGAAATCTGTTTGAGATGACTTGAGCTTTGTGACATGGTGCATCATCCTGCTAGAAGCTGGAGGCTGTGGGATCGACATGGTCAGCAAGAATTCTCAGATTGGCTGTGGCCTTTAAATGATGCTCAGTTGATACTAAAGGGCCCACAGTGTGCCAAGAAAATGTCCTCCACAGCACATACAGTACCATCCGAGTCTCATTGGAGAAGCACGTCTTCAGCTGTCCTATGTTGATGAGCCAGTCTGATTTGTAGCCTCAGTTTCTTGTTCTTAGCTGACCGGAGTTTCACCCAATGTAGTCCTCTTGCTGCTGTAGCCCATCTGCTTTAAGGTGCAATGGTTTTTGCCTTCAGAGATATTCTTATACATACCTTAGCTGTAACAATGGCTTGAAGCAGTCTAGCCATTCTCATTTGACCTCTGGCATCAACAAAGCATTTTCACCAAAAGTACTGCTGCTCACTGGATATATTCTTTTTCAGACCATTCTCTGTAAACCCTATACAACCCTGGTTGTGTGGAGAAAATCCCAGTAGCTCATCAATTTCTGAAATACTCAGGCCAGTCTTTTCTTCCTCATTCCAATGCTTGGTTTATGAAGTGACCATGTCTACATGCCTAATTGCATTGAGTTGCTGCCATGTGATTGACTGATTAGATATTTGCATGAACAAGCAGTTGGAAAAGTGTACCTAACAAAGTGGCTGATAAGTGTATATAACATTCAGAAAAGCTTGATATATGGTATGTTCGGCAATTTCAATATAAAATAGTGACCCAGACAATTTATCGTCAAAAAAAATGTGCAGTGTGAATCTCTTCACAGTCAAATGTCAGCTTCAGCTCACATTCTGTACTAGACTATGGACTAATTCACTCAGTCATTTAAAATTCAGGCCATGAATGAATTCTGTGATCCTCTGCCTCCCTGCTTGGCAGCTGAACATTTCTTTATCAGGTTTTGAATGTTCAAAGACAAAGGATCACACAGGAGTCAGTAAAGAACAACATTAATCCAGGGATTAATGATTATTATGACAAGGACAGAAATAGGAGAGCTGCCACCCAATCAAACATGTCACTGCTTTGACAAGGTAGTTTTTCAGGTTATCAATACAAAGGTAAAACAGGTCACAAACAGACACAGCATTCAGTAATGCCTAATGTATTATTCATTGTTTTTTCCATTATTCAGCATAATGGCTCTTTCTCAGTATTATGTTGATACGGCACTCCAATGCATTGCAACCTCAAAAAACAGTAAGTTTGTCCGACAGAAAATAAAACAGTGTTCATTTCACCTGTCTTGTTTCCAGACACCTCATTAAAACGCTGAATATATTGATGAACAAGGGAGAAACCTGGGTGAAAAGAAATTACATTAGATCAGTCTCAAATACACGAGGGAATGCTGGTTTATGCTTGTAGGACAGTAGGTGGTATACATATGAAATTGTAAAAAGGAGCTGAAGACATAGTAAGGTATAATGTGGAAAAGGAAAACTCTTAAATGCCTGAATAAAACTCTAAGAGAGTTACAGTAAAAGGCAGCAGACAGGTGACTTTAATCCAGGGATGTTTTCTTCTCATCCTCAGTTTCAAGCCTTAGAGAACAGACTTTTAGTTAACTGGCTAAATGTCTTTAAGTTCTTAATTTAAATTCTTAGTTCATTTTATAACTTAACGGAGAAACTGCTCTATGTAGCTTGTGGGTAGTTCCAGTGTTTTCATATGTGACACCACCTGGTAACAGTGCAAGAAAGTTGTGAACACAACATCGACATATTATTTAAGTTTTGTTTCTTGCCACCTGAAAATCCAATAATTGCTTTCCTTCAGTTCTCTTTCTGTTCTGTACCAACTCCTGAGGGAAATATCTGGCTCTTTAGCTGCTAAATGTTCCCCTATGTTCACCACCTATTCACTGATTGTGTCTGTCTGTTATTTGGTGCTAAGCAGGGCTTGTCCAGGGGTTTTCCTCTAGTTTTTCTATTATTGTCTTGAAGTCTAAGCATTACTCATTTTGCTTACAAATTTCAAAGTGTTTTTAAAGCCATAAATCTATCAGTAGGTACACCATATGGTGGTTTTCTACCTTCTTAATTGTTTATTTGACTGTAGCAATATGTTATGTTTTGGCAGGATTAGTGACAGCTCATTTCCCACCACTTTTGGTGATTAATTAACTTGTGCACAGTTTGCTATATATGAGACAGTAATTAAATTTGCCTGTGTCAAAGATTAATGTAGGCTTTTATAACAGATAGTCGGTGCCAAATAGTTTTGCCCCAAAGGCCTACTTTATTGTCAAAGCATTCACTCAGGATATAAAAATACATTTTTTCTTCTATATAATGCTTTTGGAGAATTTTTAATAATACAACACAGCCTTGAATATTCCTGGCTGAAGTGAGGGCCTAAATCTGGCAAGGATTAAGCTTGTAAATAATTCAACAAATATTTAATTCTTTAGATACAATAAAGCCATCTCTTACACTTGGAACATTTTATCTATTGCAAAAATAATACCAAGAGAATATGACGGCAAATTGTGCCTAATAGTGATTGATATTTTTCTTCTTAAGAAGCATACATGTAATGCAAAACGAAAGAGTAGTAAGAATTGTAGTCCTTTACATTGTCTGTTTGCAGTGGTCCCCGTGCTCTTCCCTCTTTTCCACATTTTGGCAAGAGTTAACTGTCAAAAGGCGACCTAGAAATAGAAAGTGAATATGATTAATGCAACAGTAGTACTAGGAGTACTAGAGTGTTATTTTGCATAATCTTTGATTTGATAAGCAAGGATAATCCAGTGCATTTCTTTAAACTCGTGAGCCTAAACGCATTATATTAAGGGATACTGTAGGGAAAATACCCAGTTAACATTTTCTGGGCATTGCTTTACAAGTGATGACAGCTTATGTTATGAGGAAGATGATGCTTTTGCATATATTATAAAAGCACACCAAAAAACAAAACAAACAAACAATAAAAGAAAACAAACAAATATTGAAAACCATCTCTCTGATCCACTGTTCTTCAGTAGAAACCTAATACTCCTCTGGAGGGCATCCTCTAAATACCCAACTTGTTTAGCTTCTGTCAGTTCATAAACTGAAATCCACTTGGATATAATAAAGATGTGAAGGTTAACCTGTGGTCAGGATGTAGCTTTGGTCACACACAGTCTCAAACAGACAAACAGAGAAAAGGGTGTTTTACCTGTGTACCGCTCTGTGTTCACTCCCACTGAGACTGGTTTATAGATGCGTTATAAACTTGCTGCCTCCTCGTTTTCACTGGATATTAAATCCTTTGGGGGTAAAATGTTTGATTTTCCTGTCTGCAAGCTTGTGCCTAGGTAGTGACTGTCAAAGAGAGGCTTCTTCTGATTAGGCAGATGGATGCTCAGAGCGGGTGGGTTATTATTAAGAGGGAGTGGGTGGAGGGAGCGGGGGAGCTGGTGGGTCAATGGATGAGGTAAGGCAGGATGAATAGCCGAATGGAGAGGGAAGGGCTACCAATGACAAGTTAGTGGTGAAGTTTATCTCTCACTGCGGTAATTACTGATGACAGCACACTCATCTTTCACAGAACAGCTGCTGACAAGAAAATGATTGGTGAGTTCATTTTGTTTGTGTAGTCTCTGATTCTTACAGATACACACACCTGTAACTGTCACAGTGAAAGTATCAGTGGGGATTTTAATTCCAGTTAAGTAATTGTTCAAAATGTATTTTACTGGCTTTTTTAAAGAAACAGATTTCAGTTTGAGCTATCATCACAGGCTGATTTTAACCATACTGTATTAGGAGT